ATATTCTTAATCTATTACATACTTTTATTATCATAGGTTTCGCTGTACCTGCTACTTGTAGTTAAATCAAGCCATTATTCGGTTAGGTGAAAGATATACATGAGTAAAAATTTAATGAATAGTTCACCAAAAAAAAAAAAAAACAATCAAGCTTGGTTTTTACACCAAAAAGCTAAAAAGGATAATTAAAGAAAATATATTGTCAGAAATAATTGTCAGACATAAGCATTAGAAAAAAAGTAATTTCACATAAATTGAGACAAAATAACTATCACATATTTATCTCATACTTCATAAAATTACTTCTAAAAAAACTAATCCAAAAATCCCATAATAGAGGTCCCATGTATGAGCTTGCCTAGAATTGTTACTCCCTTCCATCCTTTATGTAATATATTAGAAGAGTTTTACCAATAAAAATAAAGTGATTTTGTAAGAGTACTTGTAAAATATTAATTGTTTTATTTAATTTTTTTGGGTAAATTTTCAACGAGGATTGTGATCGAGAGGGCATATTTTTTTTTAATTTTAATATTTATTAGAGATAAACATAATGAACAAAATAATTTCTAAATAATTTTACGGATGTAATTAACTTTTCCTCATTCCAATGAAGTAGTCCGAGGAAATAATTGTACTACCACTGGTCATTGATATAAAACTTGTTTAACACTTAATTTGATAATAAATATAAGATCATAAGCCACTTCATCTCCAATATTTATATATTTTGTCCTCAAGTAATCCCTATAGTGGTTGTATATGTTACAGTGTTACTATCAATGGGTAATTCAAATACACATGGTTAATAAGAATATTTTAGGAAAGACAATATTATTTACTACAAATAATTAATTTAACTAACTTTTTTAATCTTTTCAAATTCGTTAATTAGATTTTATATTAAGTACCGAAAGTATTAGTATAAACATCTAATATGATATGTTGGGAGTGATAGGCAGCATATATTATACACCCACGCATATGAGAGATATGCTATGTGAATGGGTAACTAGGACGTGAATACTTCTTTATCTAATGCAGCTAAGCAAGATATTCTCTATATGCTTCACGCTTTCTTATTTCCATCTTTTCTATTGACTTCCTAGTCGTGTTCTTAGTTTTATGATTAAGGGTGCCTTGTAACTAATCTTCATTTTCTATTAATACCATTTTGTTTTTTTGAAAAAAGGACATGGTTTTTCACCAATAATAATGTAATTTATTTCTTTCTCTGAACTCATTTCTAATTTTTTTTTTTAGATGTATAATTGGTTGCATTGGAGGCCTAATTTTTCCCCAGTAAATAGAAAAGGATAATTGGTTCCTAAAATCTAATAGGAATTCCAGAATTATGTTTGAAAAAGATGAAAAATAAAATAAATTATTGCTATAATCTTCTATTCCTATTTATAAGACAATCTTAACATATTTTATTGGAATCAATTAAAACTTTAACATCATTAGTTCTGACTTGAAATTTAATAACTTTTTAATTTTATCGCTATTTAATTATATAATTTTTTTAAAAAATATTAATCTATATAACAAATTAAAGCTAAAATTATATATTTATATGAAAAATTTAATGATGCAACTTATAAATAAAACAAAAAGATATACTTTCTCTACCTTATAAGTAGGATGAAAGTAGCTAGGATGAAAGGAGCAATTACTATGGGTGTTTATGATTATCTTGCAATTTGTTTCAGCTTTCCACACACAACTTCAATGCTGAACTGTAAATAAAGGCCATAATAATAAACAAATACTACCTCCGGTTCTTAATATAAGACCTCATTTGACTTTTATTTTAGTTCTAAATATAAGATCTCAATCCATTTTGTCTCTCATATTTATGTATTTTTTCCTAAGGTAGTCTTTCTAATAATAGTAGTTTTAGCCAATAAACTTGATTAGCAAGGATAGTTTAGGAAAGACAACACCTATTTATTATAAATAGCTAACTTAATTGACTTATTTTCTTAATCTATTTAAATTAGTCAACTAGTTCTTATATTTAGGACAGAGGTAATACTACTACTAGTACTACGGAATACGGATACCAATTTCAATCTCATCAAGGGTCGCTAACACAAGTTTGTAATGCAAATTAAACGAGACTCCTTTTTGGCTAAAATAATTAAACTCGAGATTCCTTGACATAGAGGATAGATAATTCAGTTTGTGATTAATTAATCCTGACTCTCAAACGTTAGTAATCATGATCTTTAACCAAGCAAATGTGTGTTTTGGATCAATCTTTATGGACGATTCAGAGCCAGATAATATTGATTTTATTTCGTAATTTTGACCATCAGTTAAACCACTCAATGGGGACACATATTTAATGAGTAATAATTGCATATGGAATCCGAGCTAATAGCCTATGAGCCAAACGAATGACAGGGACGAGCTGATTCTGTAGTAAGGGAATTGGTGAACACTCGGATGTGGGTGAAGAAGCAATTTTCTCTCGTCTTCTTGTTAGTATGTAGTTGAAGTAATAAACTAAACTCTTTTATGCAGCCGGTGCGGTTGGTGCGATGATTCATTTCATGACAGATGGCGCTGGCAACAATATTATGCACTCCTCCCGTGCCCAACATGTTCGCTGTCTGAACATTAGATATATTATATTTTTACTAATTTTGCTCTTAATTAAGTTTTTATACTCTCTCTCCTCATCTTTTTCTTTCTTATTCGCCTTCTTATTAAATAACGACATATTTAAAAATAAATATGCAATTGTTACATATTTATTATTTTTAACTAGTTTTAACTATTTTTTTAAACAGCATAATTTAATTAAAATGATCTTATAAAAAGGATAAAGGGAGTAGTACTCCCTCCGGTTTAAAATATAAGACAAACTTTATTAAATGAGCTTATTTTTCATAAGATAATATTCATTTTTATCTAAATATTTAATGGGTTTTATTTTTTCAATTTTACCCCTAACATATGCATTTTATTTATTTTTGGTTATTGACTGTATTAATCACGAAAAGTGGTTGGTTTAGGAGGCATGGGAAGAGAGGTACCTTCATTTGCCTTCCATATATTTTCTTTCATCTTTGATTCATTTATTGCATCTTTTACTTATTATCTTCATTAATAAGAATATATTTGGGAAAAAAATATATGCCCTACATATTTATTGTATTAAACTAATTTTAACTAATTTCTTGATAAACATAAATGGATAAAATTTATCTTATATTTTGAACTGAAGGGAATAATAAATATTCAAAAGTACTTATGGGGCAATGATAGTAGGATATTACATTTTGAGTACGCCAAATGATATACTCAATTATATGATACGATATGTAAAAGTACAAATCTTATTCACGCACAAAAAAGTACTATAAATCTTCCAATTTAGGAAAGCAAATGCAGGGCTAACATGGTGATATAGTTTAAGGTGATTATTATTTTAATAGAATCCAGAAGTGGTCCAATTAAACAAAACACAGACAGAAATTCTGAAACAGAACATATGACGTTATTTCAATGAATAAAAGAAAGAACACGAGAGGGAGAGGTGAAAGTGATATACACAAGGTGTAAAAGGATCCCAAGATAAACGATTAATCTTCAGCAATTAAAAAGTTTGCCCTTCGTTTTCCAAAGGGGGCCCAAACAAACCATCAATCTAATATGGTAATAATTTAGGTTTTTGGAGATTCGTGGCGTCAATGAACTCAGCCAATGAAACGCACGGGAATCTTTTTCACGGCCTCAACTTGGATGTTACACGTAGAAAACTAAGCCTCTTCTCCATCCATCCTCATGGACATGGCTGCCATCAACTCGAATGAGTTAATATGCAGAGAGGCATCCTTTTCGCCGATATCGTGCACGTGTACGCAATCCCTCGCTTCGTAGATTTTTACAAACACTAAATCTCTAGGATCGCCATGTGGCAGATGGAGAGCGAGCCAACTCTCTCTCCCAACCACGCCTTCCCTCCCCCTCCTCCGATATTCAGCTTGAGTATTCTTAAACTCTGCTACTATATTATATAGTCACACGCATATTGCCACAGATAGGCGACTCTGAGTTGGTTAAGACATACGCAGGCAGACATACCAACGCCATTACGCTTTTTATATTTCCAATTCCATAGTATATCATACCCTTTTCTCTCTTGCTTGCTCACGTATATCGCCCCCCACTGAACATATTCATATATACCTTGAGTTCTTCCTGAGTTTCTTTATGCAAGGTTTTACTCTGAGTTAACGCCAGTCCGCTCACTGCCCTCAATTTGTCAGCCCAAACCAGCTGCATATCCCAATCCCAATTATTGCTGCTGCTACTACCCTCCCAAAGCGGATCATCACTTCTCTTGCATATATATCACAATCTTCCAAACGTAAGTCTTTACTACTTGTTTTTCTCTCGATTTACTACACTTCTCCATCGCGAGCAACAAGATCTTTGCCTTTTCCTCTTTCTTTACAACTCCTCACAGACTCTAACCCAACCTCCTGTTTTCTTTTGGCAAAATAATAGCACTAAATGAGATTGTGATAATGGGATTTTGATTTCTTAATTTGTTTATCCTACCAAAAGGCTATTCTGTGTTTATTTCACTCAATCTGTGTAATATTACCGGCGTTTACATAGAAGAATCCTTAATAAAGATCTTGGACGTAGTCACATAAATTTTTCTATTTTGGTTAGCATTATCATATGTTAAAGCTTTCCAACCAAGGACTCGTCTCTTCTTTATATTTTCACTTCCTATTTTCCAAAATCCTCTTGATTCTTTGAACCAAGTAATCATAAAAAATGATACTTCCTCCCACTGTCAACTCAGGCTTCAATTACTTCGTGCTTTTAATGGAAGCAGTTTGTGTTTGCTAAAGAGATCCAAACCCCTCTTTTGTTGGATTCTGGAGAGAGATTTGCTTATTTATCTTATCTTATCATTCAATGTAACGTGTATATAGGATCTGTCGGAGAGAATCGCAAGTTGAGGTATAAGCAACATGGAATATGGTGCCTTAGTACACAATAATTCTGCATTTGATGCCTTATCAGACAGTACTGCCTCAGTTTCAGAAGGGGATTTCATTGACGAGGTCCTTGCGCATGGTTGCTGGCTGGAAACCACCGGAGGATCATACAACCTCACTCAGCCTTGTGCTACGAATCCCCCTTCTCTCAGTGACCCTAATTTGCACTACTGGACATCCTCAGATCCAAATCACCAAATCTATCAGCAAGAATCAGAGTTAAGTTTTCCATTCCAATCCGAAAGTTTCGTGGTTGCGAGCTCTGAAGTGGGCAAGAGGTGGTGGATTGGACCAAAGGCAAATCCCGGTCCATCTTCCTCAGTCAAAGAAAGATTAGTTCTTGCCGTGGGATACTTGAGAGACTACACCAAGAATGCCAATGTGTTTCTTCAGATATGGGTGCCCACCAGGAGAGAGGGAACATACGTTCTAACCGGCGCTCACGATCACGCTCCCCCTTACCCATCCGTCGATGATCCGAGCCGTAAGACTCTTGAATATTACCGAAATGTTTCCAAAGGTTATCAGCTGGCTGCCGAGGAGGAATCAGAGGAGTGCCGAGTAATCCTAGGAAAATTGCCTGATCAGTGGACCCCCACTGTTCGCTTTTTCAAAAGCCACGAGTATGTTACATATGTAAATTATGCACAGCAGCACTACGATTTGCGCGGATCATTGGCCCTTCCCGTGTTTGAGAGAGGCAACGGGACATGTCTCGGCGTTGTTGAGATTGTAATGACCAATCACAACATCAACCATCACCCGCAAATCGACAATGCCTGCCATTCTCTCCAGGTTTTCTTCTTCTCCCGTAAAATCTTCTATTTTCCTATGTACATCTAGCAACCGAAACCGTTTCTCATTTAATTTTCTCATCGAGTAACCAGTTACCACCGATATCTTCAATATTTTCTTTTGTTTGTTTGTTTGTTTTTTTTTTTTAACTCCCATTCTTCTACCTTCTACGGACTTAACAATATATAGCAATAATATGCTTGTTCTGGAAGCCGGATGGTCGTACAGTAACAAAAAGGATCGATACAGATTAAGACAAACACAAATATATGTGTGCTTAATGGACTAATCAGCGTCCTCGTGTTTTAACATTAAAAATAACGTGTCACCATACATAACCTCTCTCACATAAGTATATGTATATTGATCTGCTTGCAGACTGTTGATTTTAACAAGAGTACTTGCCAGAACCTCATTTCTCCGTCTGTGAAGGTAAGGGAGTGAGCGGATGAGTCAAACTAGATTCAGACCATAAATATATACAAGATTACGTATGAACGTGTGGTTGCTTTTATGTCGTATGTGAGCAGGTATTTGACGAGTTGTACCTAGCTGCACTAAATGAGATAGTAGAGGTGTTGACGTCTGTGTGCAAGACACATAATTTGCCTTTAGCCCTGACTTGGGCTCCCTGCGGGCAGCAAGGTAAGGGCGGATGTCCGAACGATAATTTCGTCGGTTGTTTGTCCACCGTGGATTCTGCTTGTTACGTGACGGATTTAGATTTACTTGGGTTCCAAGAAGCCTGCTCTGAGTACCACCTTCTTAGAGGGCAAGGCATCGTTGGCACAGCCTTCACCACCACCAAGCCATGCTTTGCAACCGACATAACTGCCTTCAGCAAAACTGAGTATCCTCTGTCTCACCATGCCACCATGTTTGGGTTGCATGCCGCCGTCGCTATTCCACTCCGTAGTGTCTACACCGGATCCGCTGATTTTGTGTTGGAATTTTTCTTACCGAAGAATTGCCATGACGGCGAAGAACAAAAGCAGATGCTGAATTTATTATGTGTCGTGGTACAACAAGCTTGCCGGAGTTTACATGTTGCCATGGACAAACAGATGGAGGAAGAATTCACGTTTACCGTTGGAGATATGCTGGCTGCGGCTTCCAAAGGCGGAGCCCACAAAGAAGAAACTCTTGAGTTTGGGTCTTGTAATTTAGAGGAGGCATCTTCAAAAGAATCGTCGTGGATTGCACATATGATGGAGGCTCAAACCCAACACAAGGGCAAAGGCGTGTCAGTGTCGTTGGAATACCTGGAAGAACCAAAACAAGAGTTCAAAGTGACAACCAACTGGGAAGGTGCCCACGTGGGATTCTGCAATGGGCAGACATTTTCAGATTATGGACAAATTCACCCGAGCTCAGCGGCATCCAGAGCGAGTGTAGAGGGTGGAGGAGAATCTCATGCTTTTGGTGGACGCCGCTCGTCTGGTGGCAGAAAATCAGGCGAGAAGAGACGAACCAAGGCCGAGAAGACTATCAGCTTGCCAGTTCTTCGACAATACTTTGCAGGAAGCCTTAAAGATGCCGCCAAGAGCATCGGCGGTATGCATTTGTACTTATTTGCCTGCAATCAATCTCGCGCTTAATTTATAATTCCAAACTTGAATTTATTGTGTTTAATTGCAGTGTGTCCCACGACTCTTAAAAGGATATGCAGACAACATGGAATTACCAGATGGCCTTCAAGGAAAATAAAGAAGGTAGGACACTCGTTAAGGAAACTTCAGCTTGTAATCGATTCAGTACAAGGTGCTGAGGGCGCCATTCAGATCGGTTCCTTCTATTCCAGTTTTCCAGAGTTGAGCTCCACAAATTTGTCTGGCAGCGGTCCTTCTCAATCGTCAAGCATCAGCGACCATTCCAAGAAAGCGCATGCTCGTCCCGAGCACGGCTTATATGGCCACGGCGGCCCAACATTAAAATCTCCGCCCTCTTGTTGCAGCCAGACTTCCACCATCATTAACGCCGGTCCAGTGCAGATTTTATAATGGCAGAAAACCCAGAAGCATTGCTCAAGAGAGCTCATACTCACGTTGAAGCAGAATTGCGTGAGGATACAAAACATTTCGCAAGCCAGCAGAAACCACTCGGGGAGCATCCCAGTGTTGAGATTTTACCTCCATTGCCTGAAAATAGTGGATGGAACGCACGAGATGGTGATGCTTTTAGGGTGAAAGCTACTTTTGGGGACGAAAAAATTCGCTTTAGCTTGCAACCAAATTGGGGGTTTAGAGAACTGCAACTGGAGATCGCAAGACGGTTCAATCTAGATGATGTGAGCAACATTGGTCTCAAGTATTTAGATGAGGAGGGTGAGTGGGTTCTTTTAACGTGCGATGCTGATCTTGAGGAGTCTAAAGACACATATCGATCATCTAAGAACCGTACAATGAGGTTCGCCCTGTTTCAAGCTTCACCCCTAAATCTAGCCAACACTTTCGGCAGCAATAGCTCATCCTGACACCAATTGTTTCGTCTGTTTATTTCATTCTAGTTCTAGCTAGCTGCATCATGTGTAGGCTTGAACCAGCTATATTTCTCTTCTGCTTTTAGTTAAGGGAATAAATACAGGTGAGATTTATGTCGCTACATTTATAGCAAAGAGAAGAGAGAACCATTATCCACTAGGATCTTTGTAACATATATACTGAACAGATGCCAGGTCATAGACGTTCAATGATTAATGGGCTGCGTCCATAACCATGGACCGTCCCTATGTCATCGCTCGATTCATTGGCTAAGCCGCATAAGAGTACATTATCATTAATTTAGCCTTTTCATTTAACAAGTTTAGATGTAATTGTTGATAAATGATTTTTAATATATGTAGAAACATGGAACGAACATGTTAAAAGTTATATAAAATTTAAACTAAATTTAAAGGGTTTACTCTTATTATATTACGGATTGTGTATATATGTTAACACTATTAAAAGCCCAATAATAAATAACGATAGATCAAAGCCCAGACACTTATATTAGGAGCCCAACAATACTCATATTGATAGATACTAGGAGATATTTTTTGCACAACTTTGCCCTAAAGGATCACTTCTCATATGTTATATATACTTGTGTTGTTACTATTCACAAATCAATAAGAATGCTACAATGCTTTTAGTTGCATTACTGCTTTGTCTTTTTCTTTCTATCCTTTTCATACTTTGAAATGGTATCAGAGTTTTGAGTAGTCAACATGACTGATCCTACCAAAACCCCACCTTCTCATTCCTCTACCACCAGTGAACCCATAACCACACCTATACCTCCATCTTATCCTTCAAAAGTTTCCCCCTTCATCTCAGTCAACTTAATCCAGAAAACCATCTTGTTTGGAAAGCTCAAAATGCTTTCTTATCTTTATGGCCAATACTGTTTCTTTTACATTGATGGATCAAATCCCCAACCGTCTCACAAGCTCAATGATGGAACACCAAATCCAGCTTATATTAAATAGTTTGAACAAGATCAGCTTGTCCTCTCTCTTCTTATTTCTCTCTTTCTGAAAAGCTCATAGCACAAGTCATGAAGCACAATACTAGCCGAACAATGTGGTATGATCTTAAGACAACATTCTCTCAACAATTTCAAGTTAAGTATCTTCAACTTCATCAACAACTTACTCATCTTAAGAAAGGAGGAGAATCAATCTCTGAATATTACTAGAGGGCCACATTTCTAGCTGATTCATTGGCTGTAACAGGTAGTTCAGTCTCTAATGTGGGTTTTAAGATCTATCTTTTTAGTGGTTTTGGCTTAGAGTTTGACTCTATAGTAACGTCACTCACTAGAAGATGAGAGGTTCTTACTATTGAAGAAATCCTTAGTCATTTCTTTTCTTATGAGGCTAGACAAAATCAAAATATTGGTACTCAATCTGCTTAAATCACAGTCAATATAGCAGAATCATCTATAGGTCTTCTCCCTTCTCCAGGTTGCTATAGTGGCCGTTTCTTTTAGAATAATAGATTTTGTGGTGGTAGATGTTTCTTCCTAGGATATCATGGAAGAGAAAACAAAGGTGGTTGTTCCTTTTGTACCACCAATACTTGCCAACTCTATCTTTTACCTGGACACACAGTGGTGACCTGCAAACATTGCTATGACCCCAACTTTTAGCTTGGTTCTATCTCTGGTAATTATTCAGTGTTCCTTTCTGCTGTTGAAGATGATCTTCGATATCTAGACACCAAGGCAACAAATCACATGACAACAACATTTTCAAATATGAATATTCAAGCTAATCCTCATGAAGGCCATAAATTAGTACATGTTAGTGATGGTGCACCTTCTCCAATACAACACACTGGCTCTGCACAACTCACTTCCCAAAATAGAAATATCTTTCACTCAACTTCTTCATTTTCCTAACATTACCAAAAACCTCTTATCTATTTATCAATTTCATCTTGATAATTATGTGTTCTTTGAATTTCACTCTCATTTTTTTGTGAAGGATGCCAAAGCTAAAGAGATACTTCTTTAGGGTCCAAGTCACAATAAGCTTTATCTTATCCATGGTCTCCATTTGTTTTCTCAGCCTATGGTTGCTGATTTTTGGTGCTCGTACTTCTCTCACTTCGTGGCATAATTGATTGGGACATCCTACTTTTTGTACAATGCAACACATTATCTCCTACGCTCTTCCTATCTCCACTACTTTTGTGTCTTCTCAGTGCTTAGCTTGTCGTGTAGCTAAAAGTCATCGTCTACCATCTCCTTCATCTCCTTAGTGTTCCACTACTCTTGTTGATGGTTTTAGGTACTATGGTTGCTTTGTAGATGACTTTTCTAGATATATATGGTTGTTTCCACTTAAAACTAAAGATCAAGTTCTTGATACTTTTCTCTCTTTCAAAACTATAGTTGAAAATATGCTTAATCGTAAAATCAAATCTTTTTTAATTTGATTAGGGAGGAGAGTTTCATCTATTTAAGGAAGTTCTCTTATCTTTTGATACTCATTGTCGCACCTTATGGCCCCCCACACACCAAAATGGAATTGTCGAGTGCCACCATTACAACATTGTTAAAACTGGTTTTGTCATACTCACACACACCTTAAACTTACTAGTCTTATGCCTTCTCTACAGCCACCTACCTACTTAATCGTAGTCCTAACTCGGTACTCAACAACATCAGTCCTTTCCAAAAGATTTTTCACCAAAAGCCAAATTACAAATTTCTCAAAGTCCTTGGATTTGCTTGCTGGCCCAACCTTTGCCTTTACAATCACAACAAACTTGGACCCAGATCCATCTTATTTAAATCCTTAAACTGGCCGAATATACATCTTCAAGTATGTCATTTTTTATGAAGCCCATTTTTCCTTCTCAAAGCTTAACAAAACACCTCAACCCAATCATAAACAACTCACTCTTATTCCTTTTATTACAAACCCAAACCCAACTCGACCACCCACTATTCCTAGCCTAATACAACAGCAAACTCACATTACTCTCACACACTCTCTAGCATGTGACACGCATCTTTTAGATCTGGGCTTGCCCATCGACACATCATCACTAACCTCTACCTCCTCTAAAATGCTAATTTCCTCAGCATCTTTATCTCCCTTTGTACCTTCTACATTGATTCATCCAAATCATACAACTTCCATTCATACCATGGTTACGCGATTTTAAGCACAAATCTCTAAACCCAAACAATTTATAGATGACACCATCCCTTGGCCGCCCCCACAAGCCTTAACAGCTATGGCGTCCTTAGTTCATGTGCGTAGCTTGGTCTCTAAAGTACTCAAATCTCCTAAATAGAGAAAGGCGATGAGTGAAGAATTTCAAATACTTCTTGATACAAGTATATAGAGTCTCATTCCTCGTACTGCTACTCAGGACCTGATCGAATGTAAGTCGATTTTCCAGTTAAATATACTCTAGCAGGTGACATTGATCATCCTAAAGCTAGACTCATTACAAAGGGCTTTCATCAGCAAGCTGGTATTGATTACTCTGAACCATTCTCCCGGTTGTCAAATTAGTTACAGTTAGGTTACTTCTCTTTATTGTTGTCTCTTGAAATTGGTCTCTGTGCCAAATTGATATTTAGAATGCTTTCCTTTATGGTTTTCTTGATGAAGATGTCTACGTGACTCAGCCTTAAGGATTTATTCACCCAGAGTACCCAGATTATGTGTGCAAGTTGAATCGATCTCTCTATGGTCTCAAACAGGCTCCTAGAGCATGGTTTTCCTATCTCAATTCTCGACTTATTCAGCTTGGCTTGTGTGCCTCTAACTTTAATCCATCTTTTTCAATCTTCAATTCATCCAAATATCAAATGTATGTGCTCATCTATGTTGATGATATCATCATAGCTAGCTCTTCTGATGTTGATGTAAATGAGCTTCTTCAAACATTTAGTTTCAATTTTCCAATTAAAGATTTAGGTCCTTTGCAATATTTCCTTGGTGTTGAAATTCACAGAATCTCTGATGTTATTGTACTGTCACAAGGGAAATATATTTTAGACTTGTTAAAATCCACAAATATGCTAAACACATACTCCATATCTTCTCTTATGGAAGTAAAGACCAAACTCACAAACACTAGACCAAATTTTTCTGATCATACTTTGTATAGCAGCATAGTTAATAGCCTCTAGTATTTGTCCTTCACACGTCCTGACTTGTCCTTTACTGTGAATTATGTTTGTCAATTCATGCATAACCCTAAGGAAAATCATTGGATGGCTGTTAAACACATCCTTCACCATCTCTACAGTACTTTCAATTATGGTCTTCATATCAAAAAGTCTTCTCATCTCAATTTATTTTTGCTATTGCTTCTTTGACACCAAATACTCTTGAAGGCTATTTTGATCCTGACTAGGGAGGATGTCCAATTGATCTTACATCCATTGCCGGTTTTGTTGTCTTTTTTGGCCCCAATTTCATATCATGGAGCTCCAAGAAATGTCTCATTGTCTCTAGATCAACTACTGAGGCTGAGTATAAATCTCTTGCAAATGCCACTAGTGAAATTGTTTGAGTACAAAACCTACTTGGCGAATTACATATTCATCGACTAGAAGCTCTTATGTTATATTGTGACAACTTGGGTGCCACTTATCTTACTGCTAATCTTGTTCTTCATTCTAGAGCAAAACACGTAGCTTTGGACTACCACTTTGTGTGCAAATGAGTTGCATAAAAAACAGTTAGATCAACATGTGGATAGTCTCGCAAAACATCACTAATCACTTTCATTGGACTAGATCGAGTCCAAATGTAAAGCCATTACCTTTAGACTTGTAGGGAAATGTTAATACTATTAAAAGTCCAATAATAAATAAGGATAGATCAAAGCCCAGACACTTATAACAAGAGCTCAACTATACCTATATTGATAGACACTAGGAGATATTTTTTTACACAACTCAGGCCTAAAGAATCATTCAAGAACTTTATGATATATATATACTTGTGTTGTTACTATCCACAAATCAATAAGAATGCTACAACGCTTTTAGTCACATTATTGCTTTGTCTTTTGTGTTCTATTCTTTTCATACTCTAAAAATATGGATTTTATACATGTTATAAACTTGGCTTTCAGTTAAGCTAATGTTCAAGCTATGGACATGTTACAACTGACTTAAACTATTGATAATTAACTCTCATCATATTTAGAAATGAAAACAATCTCAAAGAGGTTTGACGACAAGTGGAGGCTTCAATAACCTTGTCAATGTCATATTGCCTTGATGACAACCTTAAGTACAGAACTCATCAAACATAAGTCTTCCTAAGCAAGTCCCCATAATATATGTACACACGTACATGTTTATATATATATTGGACGTAGATCTAGTACTTGTCTTGTTGCAATTTATGATATATAGGATTTACCCACGACTGTAGCAATTAATGATTATCTAATTGATTTCAAGAAAGGAAAATGAATGCCACACCATCTTTTTTTTTTTGTGGGGTCATGAATGCCCTACTATCTTAAGAGGCTTCATCTCAATGGCTATCTGAATATCATTCATAAGTGTCACACAGAACCCTCTATTGCTCTTGTTTACTGTTTCTCGCCATTGAGATTCTTAATAGCAGGCTACTTAGGGAATTGTTAGATATTCTCATGCAAAAATGATACAGACAAAGTACCATCAAAGCACACAAAAAGTTTGATCTTTATGCAAGCATATAATTTGCATTGATGTGGTCATAAGTGACCTAAAATTCACAAAGTTATATGAAGATGCCAAGGCTCTTTCAATAGAGATTGGGCTTGACAACGACATCGTTAGAAAATGGAACCATATTTATTGAGCATAATTTAATTAAATGAGAAAAATCGAATTAATGTTCACATTATTGCATGAAGTTGCCTTATTGGTAGAATTAATGTTCACAACATTGAGTAACGATATAATCATGACTGATGGTCAAAAACTTCTATTATTAATTGCTTGCTTGTAAAACCAGGGTGACAAAGCCCAAGTAATACTGACTTTACTTTTTGTTGTTGGCATTAACACCCTTCCCCAAGTATAACAATATTTGTCTCATAATGAAGAGGGAGTCATCTTTAAAACATATGTTGTTAGTCTTTGGTTTGGAAAGATACTAAGTGTTGAAGATATGATTTTAAATAGCCTTCATTGGTTAGTGGGTAATGGCTCTCAAGTTAACCTCTTTAGCAACAAGGGTGTTGGGAGGAATGGTTAGTCAAGTTATTATATGATGATTTTGTTGATAAAATTTTGAGGACTCCCTTTTTCTATATTCAGCAGAATAAATAAGATTGGTGGGAAGTGTAGTCATTCAAGAAAGTATATTGCAATTGAGGGACATAAAAAAGGATCTTAGGGCAACACTAATTGCTCCTATGTTAACTCTTCTTGAGATGATATTACTCCTGAAAAAACTTTCAGATACTTATAACCCTTGGACAAAAAATTAAAAGATCATTTATTTCTTGAATAGTTTTTTCAAAAAATGAATCCACCTGATTTATGAGTAATAAGATAATTCGTGAAAGAATAGAGAGAAATAACCGAATTGAGTTAATAGATTTACTTAGGTTAAGAGACCAATAAATGGTTTTCATATTCAAAACCAACTTCTAGAGCTAAATTAAACCTTAACCTGATAAAAAATTAGCCCATATACATCTTGTTTAAACATGGGTTTTGACGATTTTTGGCATAAGTTGGGCAAATTGAATTTTATTCATTGTGTGCTTTTGTTCATGTAGAGGCATCTTCATGATGCTTTGCCAACTAAAGTCAACTTGAGGCAGCACTGTATGGCCTTAAAAACACATTGTTTTGTCAATCGAAGGTTAAGGCATCACTTATTCTTTCAGTGCCAATAGGTATGAGCCATTTGGTTTTGCCCCTCCCTGGGTTTGAGGTTTACTTCCTTGTATGATTTTCAAATTGAGGAGTGGATTTTGAATACCACTGGAAGTAGTCTGCTATGTGTTGAGGAACATATTTGTTGGACCTTATATTGTATATGGTTTTTTCAAGAATCTTACGTTAATACACAATGAAGAGTCTGAACCAACAAAGGTCATTATTATGATCGATTGAGAGTTTAAATTTTACTAGAATGTAGTGGAATGGGGAGATTCTATTGAGAATAAGGACATCAATAGTCTTGCAGTGCAAGTAGATTGCTTTGTGAATTGGGTGAAATGGGTGGCAGATTATTTTAAGGGGTTCTAGGAAGAGGCAAGGCATGTAATGATGCATTAGGTATTTATGAATTTTGGTTCTATTTCAAGGTTCCCATTCCAAGGTGGAGTTTTGGGAAATGGGCATTTCTTTTCAGGCAGCTAGGAAGGGTTCTAATGTTCAGGGAGAATTTTATAGTGCCTCTTAAAAGCCACTTGATTTCCAATTAGTGCGAAGAAATTTTGACATTTTAATAAAGTATTAAAGTACAAAATGAAATTATACTTTAATGATAAATGACCAAAAAACTCACCCACTGCCAAAGCTTTCGTCGTCGCCCATCAAAGCACGATTGTCAGAGCACCGTCGGTCGCTAGAGAATAAATGCTTCGACAAGGTGGCTACCCCTTGCTCATTAAAATATTTATGACAACCAATTTATCAAACCCATTTAATCATACAATGCAAAAAATTATACATGCAATAAATTTGGCTTCCAAACTACTTGTTTGTTGCAACAAGAATTTAGCTATGTATGCTTGTCAATTCTTTATGTGAACTTATTAATCATACCTTTTACATATTCAATCTTCGTTACTACTTCTCACAATATAAAGTGTATTTGTTCAAACTCTAAACAATTTAGCTATGTGCACTTGTGAATTCTCTATGAAAACTTGTCAAGCATACCATTTACATATTTTATCTTTTTTAACATAAGGTGCTCTTGCTAAAACTACATGTCAATTTAGCCATGTGTACTTGTCAATTCTCTAAGGGAACTTGTCAGCCATACCATTTGCTTATTCAATCTTTACTTTTTACAATATAAAGTTTATTGGTTAAAACTCTAGCATAACTTGTCATTTACCATCAAAGTATATTCAATCATACCATTTTTTTGCATATTGAATTTTCTTGTTACAGCATATTATGCTCTGTAATTTGTTGTAACATAAAATATACTTATTAAAATTCTAACATAAATTCTACACTTCTAGTTCAAATATTTTGAATTAGATTTTATTGTTCAAAATCGATTTCTCAATTCCAAATCCATTTTATCAGGCAAAATTGATTTTTTTGGGTCATTTATCACATGTTTAAGTTACTTTCTTTTTTTAATTTAAACCCACTGTTAAGTTATTAAAGTATATTTGAATCAATTTCTTATCTGGTAGGGTATTGAAGGATTATCACACATTTAGGTTACCTTTTTTTCATAAGGTTAAACCCATTCTAAGATATTATATTTTAAATAAATTTTGGTTTTTAGTCTTTATTTTGAATTTTGATTAGTTTTGGTTTGTAACGATTGTGAAATTTGAATTTGATTGGTTTTTAAAAAATTCATGTCAATCGTTGTATTATTCAGCTGTAGTTTTAGGCTTTTAGTTTTAGGGGGCTATTTCATTGAAAACCAAACATGATTTTAAGTGTTTTTTTTCTTAGAAATAAATATATGAAAAAAGTTTTATTTTGACTTTTAAAGTGCTTTTCAAAGTAATCTAACACCACCTTAAAGTTGTCTTTTATTCTGTTGATGATAAACTTTGTCGATCATGGGTTTAATAAATTTATACCTAAAACTGAAAATGTAAAAGCTTATTTATAAATTGCTTTTCGAACGCGTCTGGAGAAAAGAAAAAATTGTTTTGTATAAATAACAGTGTCATGATTTTTCATAATTCTTTAGCATAATATTTTAACGGTAAACTAATTTAATATTTTATTAACTGTTTCATAATAATTAAAAAAAAATTCTGGTTCTTTCTTCGTAGCATTTTATCATTGAAACTATGATAAATAATTTCTAAACTAAAATGCACATAACCCCCTTAACCGGAACGATTTTTTTTTTTTTTAAAAAAAATTGTATCAACTCAACTTTAATTCAATTGCGCATAACCTCTCGCTTTTAAAATTTGAAAGTTTAAGATGATGCCATGGAGTTTAAGATGATGCCATGGAGACTACGAAATTAGCAATTGGGAATCATTATTGGTAAAATAAAAAAACTGTTCTTCTAATGAAGTTTTTAATTTTAATTTAGGATAAATTAATAAAAATTAAAAACAATCCATTGCCAAATCATTTAAATAATCTAATGCGATTCAGGTTCCATTAAACTTATTCATCATTTACCAGTAGAGATTTAATGGTCAGTATCGGAAAACTGAGGGTGTTATTTTTAAACTTTTAAAGATGAGCACGTTCTATGCTAGTTAAATTTGAAAGAAATCACACACACACATCTTTAACCTAATTTCTATCAAACCCTTTTAGTTTTTATGTTCTGCAACTCCGAATCTTTCAATCTCATGCTTCTACCTCCACCTACCAAAAAATAAAATTAGAAAACTTGACATAGAACCAACGATTACTATCATCGCAATCATCACAAGTTTTCGATATACTTTCTATGTTACTTAGATTTAGAGGTCCAAGGAAATCCTTGCTTCGTGTGCTCAAAATAGTGATAGAGTCTCAATCTAAAGCTAAACGCACAAGGGCCAAAATGGTGCCTCTGCTGCTAATGAAAAGCATATATCTATCAAGATATTTAATAGGTGCGCTTTATTTAAATAAAAACTGAATTAAGCATATGGCATAGTATTTGTGATGGTCAAAACTACCAAAACCACACAGAATTGCTCTGACATCATATACATGGAACTACAGTGAGAGAGAAGCTAATCATAATCCTTAGAACAAATTTTCTTGATCAGTAAAGATGCAATTAGCAGGACACAAGTTGCAGACCCTAAAATCTAAATTCAACCTGAAAGAGTCGGTTCAGAAGGGGTGGGGGGAATGTCTTCCAGTTGCTCCTTAGTGATTGTGTACTTGGACGGAGGGCCAAATAAACTCAATGCTACCTGGGAAAAGGCAGGCAGGGTTTAAAATTGCTACGGGAATGCTTGCCTCAATTATATTATACATAAAATAAAGCAACGATAAAGAACTATCCTCCGAAGACAGGCAAGGTAACTTGACCTTTCCACCATGTATGGTTAGTAATACAAAGATCAAACATAAAAGCATTTCATCATTGACTTGCGAACTAGTTATTCAAAAACCGAAGGCAAAATCTCATATCTGTTGTATCAATAACATATATGACCAGCAAAACCCGCAAAATGGAAAAGGACCAAAACCTTTTGCTTGAAGGCAATCAAGATCTACCATAAGGAGCAGAGCAAGAGGAGATTATGCACACTTACTGGTAGAAACACAAGCCCGTGTAAGAAGCCAATGACAACCAAGGCCAGATACATCTGGAAGTAATATACCTATAAAAACCAGAAAATGTGTTGTTTCAGTAATAATAATAAGCCAATGCCAACTAAAACTAGTTTATCGTTCCCGAGCAGAAAATAAGTGTCAACAGCCAATGGAGATATCACATACCACGAATATTTCTGATCTTGAGAAGCAAAGGACAAGAACTCCAACTAATTTTGTAAGAGTGATTCCACTGCCAATATAAAAACGGAGAAAAATGTTTATTGGCACAGAAATTAAGATCCAGAATTTGTAGCAGCAGGATCTGCGCCAATTCTGAGGATGCAGTAAAATGAAACTAAACACACTTAATGTAAAATAACTTTAATTTGCAATTAGAAGAGAAGTTAAACCAATAACTAAAAGGCATAATGTGGGACCCAACCCAATGACAAATTGCTGACATTCTTACCAAGGGACTTTTAAGACAAGCAAGTTGGACATGGTTAACGTCTATGACCTAACGTGAGGGCAAAAACTAATGGTCACTTGACATATCCGCTGGTGTGGCTAGAACGGGAGCCCAAATGATTGTTACATTCATGACTTGAATTTGTCCAAGTGTCTTAAAGCTACTGAAGTTATTTGTGATTGCAAAATACCTCAAAGGATAAAAGGGAAGTTATATCACAGGCCACCAATGTTATACTGTAGTGAATGTTGGTTCAAAGGGACAACATGAGCATATGCTGAGGTGGATGTGTGGTCATATACAAAAAAAAAAAAGAAAAAAAAGAGAAAATTTGTACTGAACATGTGCGTGAAAAAGTTAGAGTGACGTCTATTGAAGAAAAAATAGTAGAAATTTATTTGAGGTGGTTTGGACACATTCAAAGAAACCCATTGGATGTGACAGTGGGGAGGGTTAATCATGCCGTATAGAGTCCTTTGAAAAGGTGTAGAGGAAAGACAAAGAGATTACTCAATCAAGTTATTGAATGAGATCTTTTAGCTAACAATCTATCTAAAAATCCAGTCGCTGGTAGAGCATAATGGCATTGATGTGGGGTAAGACTTCATCATTGTTGTTGTCGTCTTCTTTTTCATCCAAAAGGAATCATGTACATGATTTTTATAAACCAGGTTCAAAATGTCAACTTTTAGAAGAAATGGGATGATTTTCCTCTATCTCCAAAAATCACAGGGTAATAATTTTTGTCACTGTCCATTATCCTTAGGTATCCCTTACTGTCTTTAGAAAGTTAGTCGTTCTCATTTTATTTTCAATATCCCTAATGTTACAGATGCATCCTAGCCAGAGCAAAACCCTATTTTGTACTCTTATTCTGCCGTCAATAATGAAATTGAGCCAGTGGAAGCAATAGTCACTTGCTCACTGTACTAGAGTGTTGGACTTGATCAACAATGATTCAATTTGACTGCTCTCTGAGAGCCGATGGCCAAGAGGGACAGGGCTCCTTGACAGAGATTACTCATCGTCCTCCGTCAAGAAATCAAGCATCTGTCTCTCAAGTGAAATCAAGCATCTGTCTCTCAAGTGCCGCTGAGCGAACCTAGTCCTATTCTCATCATCTCACAATGCTTGAGCTGTCAAAACTACCAACAATGTTCAGTGAGTGTGGGGCTGTTCATTAGAGTGGAAGTATGAACTGCTCACCACTGAACTTACAAAACCCAACCCTAATTATCCAAAATTTAGTGATTACGAGGCTGATGATGGTATAATGCAGAGGTGGCTCATAAATTCAACGGTCACAAAAATTGGAGTGAACATTATGCCATACCCCATGGCTAATGAGATCTAGGAAGTGGCAAAGAAGATATTTTCTTTCATGAAGAATAAAGTTGCAATCTTGACTATTGAAGGTTCATTACATGATTTTTGACAGCGCAATCTAAACGTTAATGACTACTATGACACCTTTGTGCGTCATTGTTAATGACTTGACTTGAATGAACCCAATTTTGCACTCTCATTCTGCCATCAGCTGTGAGCCAATGGAGGCAAGAGTGTCTGTCCACTTGTTTATTTCACACATGCTTGCTATTAAATCACAATTTGGGCTTAAAATGTTATCAAAACACCAAAGAATAAACCTGAATACAGAAGCACCCATGGTACACAGTGCTGTCTTTGCTCGTTGATTCTTATCCCCAGAGCATACCTGGGTAAATAGAAGCCACATAAAAAACTCAGCAAAAAGCATATCTGCAAGTTGCCAGCGGTAAGATTGCTTTGAATTTTCCTCATGGCTTAAAGACTAGAATTTTTTTGGGCAAGAAAGAATTAGAATTGCAAGAATAATAATGATCTCAAAAACCACACTTTAACAAGACAAGGCAGGGCATTAGAACGCTCAGCTATGACAAATTATAATCATACTGATGGAGAATACACCTCAAATAACAAGATAAATAATTATACTAACCATAAATGCATGTGCTATATGAACACAAAACTCAACAGCAATCCCTATTGACATAATAATGTTTACAACAGAAACTGCATTTAGTTGAATATCCAGAATTGCCATCACACCCTGCAGGATTCAGCAAAGGTAATAAGTGTTATTTCATCTTATCTTTCTTTTTTAAAAATTATTTTGGCATCAAATTAGACAAGGAATAAGTACACAGCAAAGATTGTGAAATGGAGTACGTGTGGAAAAAAGAAAGAAAAATGGACGGGAAAGGGAAAATGAAAGAGTAAAGCGATTCAAAAGATGTAGCAAAATTAACCACAAAGATGAAATATACCATGAGGTCCACAATTATCATGATCAGAACAACTAATATGATCGCTGAACTCCACAAGCTGCATTTGGGAAAAAATCAGAGACAGAAAAGGAAAAGCAGATCACAATTTAGTCTCGATAATAATAACAATTCTCCAAACTATCATTACCACACAATGCTATATTTGAATGGAACACTACCTGGAAGTAATAACCAGACATACAACAAAAACAGCACCTGTTATATCATCCAGAGTTAGAGATCTCCCAGGCTCACAAAAGCAATAATTTAATAGTTCATGTCAATGAGAAAGGAAGAATAACAACCAAGTGCTATAGTAATGTTGATCAGGGCTATCTTCCAAATATCCAGATACTGTTCAAAGAAGATATAGAACACCGAGTATGGAAATATATCCATCTGCATTAGAGAAGGATGATCATTAACTAGAAAATTTAATAGAAGTATAATCTATAAAATAAGAAACATTAGCAGACGTGATGAAAGAGAAGAATTAGAAGAGAGAAAAGATAGTAGATATCCTGAGTAGAAATAACATGAAATCTCTCCAGTTGAACAGATTCCCACCTCTCATATCATGACTAGATGAAACAAAGAATAGAATCATTCAAGTTTACGCCAAATAAACAAATTTCAAGAAGGATAGGGTGAATTTGCCACTTCTTCCCTTATGGGCATTCATGATCCTTCTGATATTTAGTGGAGGCAGAAATAGCATATGCTGCTGGCTATAAAAGTTCTTTCTTCAAATCATGACAAACTTTTGGTTTGCAGAAACAAGTTGCTGTCTCCATTTACGGTGTATGGAATGTGAGCCTTTGAAAATGTCTAAGTAGAGTGATGAACCCTCTTCAAAAACCTATTGTAATGGGAACACTTATGCTAAATGTGGGGCTAGACATCCCATACTACCATGGTCTCCACCAAACGACCACCTTGGGGGAGCCAACATCTCAATGTCTATTCTTAGTGAAACTTTACTAACATACTTAGGTTCCATAGAGCAACTCATGCTGCTTAGTATAGGACGAGGCATCCCAGAGTATCTTGGTCCCCCTCAGGTTCAAAACTCAAGAAATCCAGAGAAACCACTTCCAAGTAGAACAATAGACAAAAGATTACAAGTGTAAGCAAATAACATATTCAGTTTTAATCCAGTATAATTAATGCACAACATAGTAACAAATCAATCTTAATATATGGGCATGCACATGGCTATGTTCTAACAAAGTAATCATTAATAATCATGTTGCCCATCATTTTTATCACAAGGCTATGTTCTATGATAAAGAACGCAGAGGAGAGAGTTCCCTAAAAGCTAACATTGTTGCATAAGGCGATGTTCTATCATAAGGAACACAAGGAAAAATGCATCCTGCAATGAGTGTTCTGACCTCTAAAGAATCAGAAATTTTTTTGGAAAAATCCCGTGCAGCTCGCATTGCATTCACATAATCACCCTAACAAGATGTGCAGCAAGATTAGAGCGAAAATTGTCCTGAATGCAATAAAATTACGAATTAAGACACTGCATACCTGTCTGTTAAGTGGCGTGTGATATGTACGAAACTCAGATGCCCGTATGACACCACTTTGATAACCTAAGAATAGGTCATAAGCAAGTTAAAAATAGTAGGGAAGTAATCCATTATAAATAAAAAATTACAAGAAAGGAAATCACAGAGAGAGAGGTGTTTTTCAAACCCTTTAGATCCACACTATTGGTATAGGCCCCATGACCACCCTTTGCACAGTCAGCTGATGGCAACGCATCAAGAAACCATGGAAGCTTTTCTCTGAATTGTGCAGTAGTCGGACGGTCATTAACCAAATCTGAGTGGCGGAAACACTAGTAATGAATGAAAACTGTTAGTCTTTTCGCTATTGCACTACTTTAATTTACAATTAAAATTCTTTGCAAGCAGCCTTCTCAATCATTTCCAAGATGCAAAGGGTAAACTGGGCATTACAGTAGTACAGTCTTTGCACACTCCACCAAACCCACACGGGCCTTCATCTGGTGAACAGCAAGGTGGCTGAGAGGAAAAAAAATTCTCTATTTTAGCAATGAGGAAGGGCATCTGATGCTAAATAAACCAATATCAAACTGAAATCTTGATTGCCCCACCAATTATAGCACAAATAGAGGAGATAAAGGATGACAAGGGCAAGGAATCACAATATTGCACTATGTATATGTACATTTTTGTGTGTTGATTAAAGTCCAAAAATTATGAGAGAATAATAAGCAGCGAGGTTGCATAGAAAATTAGACGGGCAGACGTAAAAGCACAGACCTGATCATCAGGAGGGCAATAAGAGCCGTTTCTAAATTTTCTACAGCAACCAAAAGCTTCTGGTGATAGCCATACAAGGAAATCATCAAGCCATGAGGCAGCAGGTTTGGCAATGTAACTTGATTCTGGTACCAAAGATGCCCTAGATATCTGCAATTTTAAAGACAAAATATACAATTCCATTTACACATACAAAATCTCATATTCTTAATGCTTTCCAGCAAGATAGAACAGACTTTTAGAAGATAGAATCACTTTGAAGAGATGAAAACACAAGGAAGAAGTAACGCCTAACATCAAAGTTATAGTTCAGGGGCTTCAACATTCCAGATCAAAGATAGCTTTATTAGGGAAACCAATAGGAGTATACAGAGTCTGATGAAAGGGTGATAGGTTTCAGCCTACTACGACCACTGAAACACACATAAGGAGGCATGAGTGAGTGGCAAAATGGTAGAAAATAGGGGACTATTGGTCCAGAAGGAACCACAGATGTTAATATACAAAATGATAGAAAAGTGAGGGAGCAAAATAAGGGTGTAATGATGAAGGGTAGGAGGGAGCAGTTAAAAAGTTGGGAGTGGGTGTATAAAGAGCCTAGCTGAGAGTGTGAAGAGGGAGAGAGAAGTTTAAGCATGGTTTTGGATGGAGAGCCAACCTCTCGAATTAGCAAATCTATGGTGTTCTGTTCTAGGAGCGTGTGGTGTAGGATTAATTATGCGTTTGTCACGTAGTGAATGATTCACAACCTTCTTGTTATCCCCACGGGTACAACAATTACCATTAACGAAATGGACAAATTGACACCAACACAAATGATAAAGCACCACTAGAGCATTGAATTACCTCGTTCAATAGAGAGTTTGAATCACAATGGCTAATAGAGCATAGCTGGTTTGTATGTGTGGATTCCAAGCTGCAGAAGGGATACGCAGGAAAGCCATCAAAGCAAGAAGATGATATATGATAACTAGTGACCCAACGTTAGAATAGTTGAGTATTGCCCGTTAGTTATAATCTTATCTAGTTTGTCATATAGGATAGGATATATTTTTAAATTTAAAATATTGTAGCTAAAGAAAATACGTTTCACAGCATATGCATCTCTCAAGCAAGAAAATACCTCCAATACAAGTCTAGGCAAGGATAACCAAAGTGAAGTTATCCCAAGAAGGAAAGGTCATATCTTGCGCTAATCAGATGCGTGCAATTTCAAATTTTATGGATGTAGAAAGTTTGTGACTACTATCCCTCATTACATGATTCTAGAGGATGATGATAACACATGACAAGCTTGAATGTAAAGATCCTCTTGAAGATAACACAGGACAAGCTTGAATGAGGGATGATCTGTTTTTGCAAATATGAAACTCCATTGAGAGTGCGAAAATTAGCTCCATTGATCATTGTAAATTTGTTAAAGAGCATGGATCGTTTCCTGTATTTATGAAGTGTGCAATACCTTTTATTATGCACAGAGGCAGAAAGGACCCTTGAGGCCTACTTATATACTGTAAGGATTTATGAGGAGCTGAACAAAATATAACCTCTTCTCATTTTAAGATTCAACAGGTTCAACGGGAGAAGATGGCTGTTAAGAGCTTTTTCTTCTTGATCTCGCATCCAAATATGAAAATGTTCAGAGTTCTTGTATATATGGCATTATCAGTTGGTATTTGTGAAGGATTGCAGCTAAAACATACCTTGGGGAATGATAAAGCCCAATTTTTATATATTTTATCCCATATTAACTTGGGATTTAAATGATAATTTTGAGCTTAATTGGATTTTTATGCATTAGTGGATTAATTGGTTGATTTTTGGATTTTTCATAAAAATTGAGATTTTGGATTAAAAATATAAATATTTTTTGATTTCCTATTTTTGACTTGGAATTAATTTTTCTTATTTCTTTGGAAACAAGTCTCATATTTTTAGAAAGATTATTTTTGGAAAGTTTTGCAATTTCTTGCCTAATTTTTGTGCATATCTAATATTTAATTTTTATATAGATTATACTATATTTGAATATAATCTACATTAATGGATGTACTTAAATTCTTGTAGGCCAAGAAAGAGCGTATAGGAAATCCAATGGTGCAAGATTATTTCTTGGAATTTAAGCACAATCCAATGGCTGATATTAAGTGGGTCAATTAATTACTAATGGGCTTGAGCTTTGGATTCACAAAAATTTCCTTTTCTCCCATTAAAATAATCCCTCCAGACATGCCTTTTCTCAGATCCCATAGTCACTGATCACGCTCATGCCTCTCGGTTAAAAGAATTATTCACTTCTCCATTCTTGCGCAGTGCCACACACTCCCTCATTCATGTCACGTAGCCCATCTTGAATCGAATTATTGTTTTCCTCTCATATTCATCTCTCCCCCTGCGCAAGGATCCACTTACTATCCACATCATCATCATCTTCCATTCTTTATTCTTTATGGCCGTGGCTTTTGACAACCTTGGAGGAGGAAGGATAATTTTCACGACAGCTTAAGCTTGTTAGGAAGGCAACTTGGGAGGATCATGAAGAAGGCTTGAGTCTTGGGCTAACACTTGAAGATCATAAGAGAGCGATATTCTATTTATCTTTTTAATTCAAGAACTTGAAATTATTTAGTTTTAAATAATTTTGGGTTGTATTTTTGTGAGACAATTTAGTTCTAAATTGTCATCTCTATGCTTAGATTAGATCGATATTTGGATTTTATTTGTGCTAAGATACTTGTTGGAATTTATGTTTATGAACCTTTGCATTGTTAATTGAATTTATAATTGAGTTTTCATTATAGATTTAATTATCAATGTGATTTGAATTGTAAAATTTGGATTCTTTTGCCTCTTGATTGTTTAATTGGGTTGGTAAATTATCTAATTGTTTAATTGGATAATCCTAAACATAATTTTCAGAATTAATTTGAATTATTTGTCATGGGTTTTAATGAGTTTAATTAACCAACCTTATACCATTATGAGTTCTCTAATGGTTTAAGGTTTTTTGAAATTGAGAGTTCCTTTTGTTTCAAGTAGGCAATTAGACTTACTAATTCCACTCTCTTATCACTTCCTTTTGGTCTAATTAACTAATTAAGGTTATGAAGGTTAAATCCATGTGAATCTTAAGTTGTTCCCTCTACCATACCTGAAGAGAAACTTCTCAATTTTACTTGTTAATTTTCTTTGCTTTTTGGTTAATATCCTTTATTTATCATTTTAATTTTTTTTCTAAAAAAAAATCCCCCCAAAAATTGCATTTGCATTCATTTAGTTTAAATTAATTTTCATATAGATTTTAGAACTTTTGTATCTTGCATTTAAAATTAGAATTTTGCATTTTAGTTTAGGTCTATTTTATTGCATTTTTCATCACCTAAATTTTTACCTAGAGAAAACCATAATTGCTCCTTGGAAGTAATGACCTAGATTGATCCTAAACTATAAATTAATTAGGACCTGGTTTAATTGAGTGTTTTAATGACAAGAGGCATCACCAGGGAACTAATAACTTACAAATAACTCCACTATTCAAACCAATTAAGGTACTATGGGAGAGCATGACCCAAATCAACATTGTGAAAAATTATGTTCTTCAACATAGGATCAAACAAGTAGAACTAGACTGAAACTATAGCAAAGAAAAACTTGCTATGATATTATTGACACCTCTACATCCCCAACTAAATGGCAAGTGGCAGATATACCCACTAAAGCCCTACCTAGGGTGAAGTTTGGAGACCTAAAAAGCAAGCTAGGAAAGCTCAACATCCAATCTTCAGCATGAAAGAGGGTATCAATGATCACAGAAGATAATGAAATCCTGTGTTAATTTTTCTGCTCCCATATCCGCACCTGGTCATTGCAATTAGCAGCTAGATTTCTGCTTAATCTTCCGTTTTCTGTTTTCCTATATATGTGGGATTTGAGATCTATCCTATTAGTCTCATTCCGCTACTTATTCCTGCAACTAGCCTACCTATGATGAATAAGAAAACAGAAACAATTTGATCACTCACTGTTTGTGTTACATGTTCATCCTTTTTGCAACAAATTTCTTAACCACAAATCCAAAGTTTGCTTAAAAAGATATCGACAATGATTTATAAAGAGAGAACATTAAAACAACCCAGTGAACCAATAACCGACCTGTAGTTATAATCTTTAACAACAAAATATAATGGTGGTCCAACTCTGAGGTACTCTGAGATGTTATTGAAATAACCCTGGAAGCAGCCAAGAAAAATGAAGGTTGGTTAGGTAAGACAATTGTCAGAAAGAAATTGCCCAGCATGGGGAGAATTAAAAAAAAAAAAAAAAAAAAAAAAAAGCCTTGAAACCTGAAGGTAGGAATCCCTAGGAAGAACAATCTTTTGCTCTAGACCGCGTTCAATCCTTGTGCATAATGCCTGTTGAAGTAAACACACCATAAAAAGAAGAATATATCTCTAGAAGTTGTGAAGAAAAAGCAATGGAGCACCTTATCTCATATCAACTTACAATGCTTGCTAACGTAAATGCAACAAAAATGGCAACGACCACAATCTTAACTCCCCAAAGTCCAAGAATTGGCGCATGAATTTCCTAAATATTACATGAAAAGAGAGTTATCTTTCAGAATAAAAACAGGAGTATATATGAGTGTGCGTGCACGTGTGTGTGTGAGCTTTTTTTTTTGTTTTTTTTTGGGGGGGGGGGTAAGCTTGTATGCCCGTCTGAATAAACTTTCTGACATTCTCCTGTCTCCTAAGAACTAAAGCAATTTTTAGACGAAGAAACCAAAAACTGCAGCCTCTGGCATTTTAAAAAGTTGAAATTGTTAACCTTTCTCAACTAAAACCCTGCATACGAAAAAAAATTATTGGATAGATTTTGGACCAAAAGCTATATAAACAAGCAGTAAAATACCATATTCGCTTGGGAACCATTAACCTGCCATCAATTAGACTAAGCAAACAACAATCATTGCATCCAGAAAAATCTTCACATCAAAATATGATTTTACCTTCATATATCGTGTCAACAATCCATCTCTTTGCTGCCTGACGTCTACACCTTTATATTGAAATAATCAGAAGTATGATTTTTTCCCATGAAATATTAATATAGAGAGAAAAAATATCCAGCACAGAGTATAATATATCATTCAAAGAATGAAAATAGAAAACTCCAAAAGATAAGATTGCTAGTTAACTTGTAATACTAGATTAGAAAAGTCTGAATACTTTCCAACTATTCAAATGAGGATACATGGTATTTTAATTATAGAGAAGAGCTATCCTAGGAAAGAAAATTAGTGGATGAAACAACTTAAAAAATGAGAACCCCTTCATCTATGCCTAACTACTAGGGTTAGCTACCAAATTTGGTGAATTAAAAAAGATCTAATACAAGGTATTTCACCTTCCTATGCGGTAAGTTGGTCACCTAGAAAAGCAAAAAACAATTGGTAGTCTCTTGTAGTAGTGCTGAATCAGAATACAGGGCTTTAGCACTTGGTATATATTGGAGATAACTTTCTGAATATTCACTTGCTTATTCCCATGTAAGATCAATACATAAGTAGGCTCAAATTTCCTTGTAGTATAAAGGAAATCCAATTAAATTGAATAGAAATTAATATGGGGTGATCACCCACAATCAGGAAGCATGATTCTAGGAACTACGTAAGGAAACACTAAGAGTGTAGAGACTTGTCCTTAATAGCTAGAACTAAGGGATTCGATTCTAACAATCCTCCTCAAGCTGGAGAATAGACGTCTAGCATTCCTAGCTTGCTTCAAAGACCTTCCAATTATACCCTTGCCAATGGTTTGGTCATTATATCTGCAATTTGGTTTGAGGACCTTATAGAGGATGGATTTATGATGCCCTCCTTCCACCTTCTCTTTGATGAAATGTTTGTCTATTCCCACATGTTTTGTCCTGTCATGATAGACGGGGTTTCTTGTCATTTCAATACTGGCTTTGATGTCGCACTAGAAGTGAAGGGGTCCTTCATATAGGATTTCGAGTTCTTTAAGAAGTTTTATGATCCATATTCCTTACACACTCCTAATGCCACAGCTCTTAGTTCTGACTTAGTACTACTTCTTGACACTACAGATTGCTTCTTGCTTCTCCATGTCACTAAGTTGCCCTATACATAAGCACAGTACCTTATGGTGGACCTCCTGTGTTCTAATGATCTACTATGATCTGTATTTGTCTAGATTTCAATGCCTTAGTCTTTTTTTCTCAAAAAAGATCTCTTTTCTTGGATTAAGTTCTAGATAGCTTAAGATTCTGTACACGGCCTCTATATGTTCCTCTTGCGGTTGATGCATAAATTGGCTTACCACTCTCACTGCATAGCTTATGTCAGGGTGTGTGTAAGTTACATAAATTAACTTTCCTACGAGTCTTATACCTTTTTGAGTCAACTAGAGTGCCATTTGGTTTGATTTCCAAGCTGTATGTAGCATCCATTGGTGTTTTGCTTGGTTTAGCTTCAAGCATCCCTATTTCATAAAGGAGGTCTAGTATGTACTTTCTTTGGGACATGTTGATCCTTTTCTTGGTCCTTGCTATCTCCATGCCTAGGAAATATCTTATTTGTCCAAGATCTTTTACCTGGAACTCGACTGACAGTGCCTTCTCGAGTGAGTCAATTGATTTGTCTTCGTTTTCATGATAATAAGATGATCGACACAGACAATGAGTATGGTAACCTTCTGATTGTTGTGCTTTACAAATAATGTGTGGTCGGATTGCCCTTGGGAGCAACCAAATTGTTTAAGAGCCTTTGCAAACCTATCAAACCATGCTGTCGGTAATTGCTTTAGCCCATATAGAGATTTTCTGAGCTTGCAGACCTTGGAGATGTTTTCTGTCTTCCTTACTTCTTCTGGGATTTCCATATAAACTTCCTTCTCCAAATCTCCATTTAGGAAAGTGCTCTTTATGTCTAGTTAGTGTAGAGGCGAATCTAAGTTAGCAGCTATGGATAGTAGGATGTTGATGATGTTGAATTTTGCTACTGGAGTAAAGGTCTCCTCGTAGTCGATCCCATAAGTCTGGGTGTACCTTTTTGCAATGGGCCTGGCTTTGTATTTGTTGAGACTACCACCTGGGTTAAACTTTGGAGTAAACACCCACTTACAACCTACCACTTTCTTTCCTGGAGGTGATAAAGTGATGTCCCACGTTCTGTTCTCCTCCAGAGTTTTAAGTTCCTCTTCCACTTTCCAATTAGGATTAGCCATAGCTTGTTGGAAGATCTCTGGTATCCTTACCTGTGCACTGTTAGCAACAAAACTTTGCATTCTACTAGACAAGTTACCACAAGATACAAACCTTTGCATACGATGTTGGGTACCAGATCTTACTCTCTTTCTAAGTGTTATAGGCCATCCTAGTTCTTCGGAATCTAATTTCATGTTAAAGTCCTGGCCCTGCCTTAGAGTGGGAGAGTTATTCCTTTCATTTCTTTCATGATTGATTTTAGTATTTGGGTTATTATTAGTTTTTGGGTTTTCTATGGAGTCTTTAGAGTCACTTTGTTCGATGTCATAGCTTGCGGGAGGGGAGTTTGGTGTAGATTTTGTTTTGTGTTGTGGGGTTTCAAGTCTGTCCAGAGAGTTCTTATTCCTGTTTAAGTTTTCTAGTCTATGGAGAGGATTTTTAGGTATAGTAGGTGCAGTTTCAGGTCAGGTCTTAGTACAGTTTAGGGACTGTTTGTTTCCTAAATTAGCCATTCCTTTGCTCCATAGTTCTCCACTTGAATGGGTAATTTCGAGTAATAGGCCTTGTCTTCATAGAAGACAACATTTTCAGCGATGTGGACAATTTAGTGTTCGGTGAATAGCACTTATATCCCTTTTGAGTTACAGAATATACGATAAAAATGCACTTTTCTGCTCTGGATTCAAGTTTCCCTTCATTTTTATAAACAAATACGACGCAACCAAAGACTTTGGGGATAAATTATTAATTAATGGGTAGTTTGGATAGTATTCAAGTAATTTCTAGACAAGTGATTTAAAATTCAGTATTTTGGAAGGAACTCTGTTTATCAGATAGGTAGAAGTTACAGCATCTCCCCAAAACAGAGTTGGAACATTTTCCCAATATAATAACTCGAGTTACTTCAATAAATGTCTGTTTTCCCTTTAAGCCACCCTGTTTTGTTGCGGGGTGTAGACACAAGAGGTTTCATGGTGAACTCTGTGTCCTTGAAGAAAATCTTTGAAAAAACCACTCGTATTCTTTCGCATTATCATTTAGCAAAACTTTGATGGTGGTTTGAAATTGATTTTTCACATATGTAAAGAATCTTTTGAAGGTTTCAAAAACTTCATATTTCTCTTTTAACAAGAAAATCCATGTCATCCTAGTATGGTCATCAATAAAAGTGATGAACCACCGTGCATTAGAAAGTGTTTTTATCTTGGTAGGGCCCAAAGCATCATTGTGGATGGTAATAAAAGGAGCAATAGGTTTATAACATTGTTTAGAATAAGAGGCTCTAGTTTGTCTTAGCAAATTGGCAAGTATCACATTTAAGAAAATCCAAAGTATTTTGTGGAAACAAGTATTTCATATAATTGAAGCTAGGGTGGCCTAGTCTATGGTGCCATGATAAAAAATCCTTGTTTTGAGAATCGTGGCTAACAATTGCTTGTCTTGTTTCCTTTTGTTCATACTGAAATGGTATAGTCCATCCCACTACTTAGCCTTGCCAATTGTCCTTGATGTTAGATTCTGAGAAACACAGCCAGTGTCATTAAACAAAATGCGAAAGCTTTGACTTTTAGTCAGTTTACTTACATAAATCAGATTACAAACAAGTTCAGGGACATATAACACGTGTATAGTGAGATGTTCAAGAAGTTCAATTGTTCCAAGTCCACAAACACGAGTACTAATCCCATTTGCTACTTTTAAATTCTCATGGCAATATCTAAGAGTTTCAAAAAGGAATTTGTTACCAGTCATGTGGTCTGAAGCTTCTAAATCCATAATCCATACATCATCACCAGTCACCATAGCATTGAGAGCTATTATGGAGGTACTTGACTGCATGATAATAGTGCTGGGTAGGCTGGTTTGTTTTTTTAGAATGAGTCTCAGCAATTAAAGCTCTTCAGGGCTCAATTTGTCATCTTCCTCCTCTTTTCTTTGGGCATGGTACCCTTTCTTTTTTGTTCTTTGTTTGTTGCTCTAATTTAGGGGTTTTCCACGTAGTTTCCAACAAATGTCCTTGGCGTGACCTTTTTTGTTGCAGTGATCACACCATTTGTTTGCCTTTCCTTTATGTTTGGTTGGGTTTGTTCCTTGGATTGCTAGAGCAGAGGATTCAGATTGAGTAGTTGGGACCTGTATCAGTTGTTTTTAGCTTTCCTCACATGTTACCATGTTAAAAGTTTCAAACAGAGGAGGGAGAGGCTTAAAGCCCATAATTCAGTCCCTAACATATTCAAAAACATCGGTTAGTCCTAGCGAAAAATCATAGGTTCTTTCCTTCTCAATGAGGTGTCTATAATATTGGGCATCATCTACACACTTCCGGAAGTGTGTTTCAAATAGGTCTAATTGTTGCCAAATTCACATAAGGGTACTATAATATTGGGTTACAGACATCATACCTTGCTTGAGTTCCTCTTAGTTGCTTCTTCAATTGGCATAACGTACCAGTATTATCAACAAGGGAGTAGGTTCGCTTGGCAACATCCCAAATCTCCTTTGTTGTATAAGAAAGTAGATAGCCTTCACTGATCTCCAGATCATCGAATTACACAACCAGGTCATAATCTGGTTGTTTTCAGCAAACCAAGTGTCAAACGATGCATCATCAGGGAGTGGCTCTAGTGCTTGGCCGTTCACATACTTCTCTTTACGTCAGCCTCTCAGATACATCGAGACACTTTGTGACCTCTAGAGATAATTGCTCTCGTTTAGCTTGTGAGCTATCACTATTTGCTGAGTTTCAATTGTAGAGGTGAATTTTGGTGCCATTGTGGAGTTGCAGGAAGGCTGGGTCGGCACGGAAGGTGATGAAACTAGGGGAGCTGATTTGCTCGACTCGCTTGGTGGTGATGAATGAAGCCCGGTCACCTGGTTCCATTGTAGCATCCCAAATAGGGAAGGAAAGTTGTCACTGTTCATATTTTAGGTTTTTCTTATCTCTGTTGCACTAATACCATATTAGAGATAATTTTCTAAATATTCACTTGATTATTCCCATGCGGATTTCCTTTTAGTGTAAAAAAGAAAATCTGATTACATAATATGGGTGGTCACCCACAATCAGGAAGCACGATTCTAGGAACTAAGGAAACAGCAAGAGTGCAGAGATTTGTCCCTAATGGCTAGAACTAAGGGATCCGATTCTAATAGTACAAGTGAAGGAATTTGGTGAATACTACTCTTTAAGGAGCTTAAACTAAAGTTACAAACTCCAATTCAAGCATGGCATGACAATCAATCAGCAATGGAAATTGCAGCCAATCCTGTTCAGCATGACAAAACAAAACACATCGAAATTGACAAGCACTTCATTAGGGAAAAGATTCAAGGAGGCATTGCCAACCTCACCTACGTGAAATCACAGCAACAAGTGGCTAATCTTATCACTAAGCCACTGGACAGGAAGCAATTTGATGAGCTAGTAGACAAGCTAGGAATGCTAGATATCTACCCGCTAGCTTGATAGGGAGTGTTGGTTAGTGTATTGGGCTTCTAGTCTAACCCCAAGAAGCTTTAGTTTGACCTAGTTTAATTAGTTGTTTCTATTTTTAGTCCACACCTCAAATTATAAGGGACTAGGATATCTTAGCATTTATATTGGGTAGGATAGCATTTTGTTTTTTTTGGGGATATCCCTCTTCTGTCCTCTCGAACTCTTCAACCCTATTCTACATATATCAGAGCATGAAGATTCTCCACTGCAAATGAGGGAGTTTTTTTGCCACGAACTGTCACAAATTTTCTATTTTATTGCAGTAAACTAAACTATTATTCACATATCATGATATTTTGTTTATAGTTTAATACATATAAAGCAAAGCTACCACATAAAAGAAAATGAATGTGGGAAAAAACTTAAGAGGTGGATAATGCCTTGATCTATGTCAAACTGATAAGGTCAGCTATTAAATTCCAATCACAGCTAATATTACCCAATAATTTCTGACTTATTACAGTCCTTACAATGCTTTATAGGATTGCACAATAGGGCCCTACATAAAAGTACCATGGACAGTACCCAAAAGGAATAAACATGAACATATCCCATGATGTGCAATAGCAAAACGGTAACCATGAAAATACGAACTCTTATCCTTAACCAAATTTGCAAATGAATTTCTAAGACAACACGTTACCAAAACATCCTAAATAAATAGCATATTAAAGAAGAGACACAGTTTACCTACTAATATGTAACAAATAATGCTTCAATATGAAGAATAATTAACGTATTCACGAGTGTTCCTTTGCACAATTACCTTCATTATGTTGTATAGAGGCTGAAGTCACCTTAATGCATGGTATACAGTCAATCCTATCATTCTCAGCTCTTATAAAGTCAAAAGTCACCAATGCTACAAAAGCAGTAATTTGCAGAAGAAAGTCCAGCAGAACAGCCAAAGCTACATAAAAGTAAATAAATGTTAAAGGGAACACCTGCAGGAGCTTCAAATTGTTCAACCTCCCTTTTTGAGGATACATAATAATTTTTCCCCAATATGAAAAAAGCATTATTAAACCCCCCCCCCCAAAAAAAAGGGCATACATGAAACCAATGGAAAATTTGAGAATGAGAGGAGAAAAATATTAAACCTGCAAACATCGAGAAAACACGGCATGCTGGCATTGAAATGAAAGATCCTACTGCAAAAGCCAAAATCTCAGAGATGCTGGCCAGTGTAATGGAAGGTCCTACCTGCCCTAAAGCATTACTTATCCGCTCTTCTATTGGCAAACTTGTAGACTGCCGTTTCATAGCATGTACAATTATGCACATGTTATCTACTCCAACCTGATTATTGAATGGAAATTCATAAAATAAAGAGAAATCTCACAGTAAGTCCATAAAGTGATAACTAAGCAGAAAACATATGCAAATTAAAAACAAAATGTTTTTGAATATGCAGGAGTTTGGATGACCCAAGCGACCATGTCAGCTGATTCCAAGAGAAACACTAATCTGTTTATATATTGTGAAATGGTTTGGCCGATTTTGAAGACCGTTTCTTACATTTAATGGGAGTATTCAATGTCTAGCTGATCTACAGGTTCGTCTGGCCAATCCTTTTGCTGTGGATTTTGAACTGGAAAGAGAGCATAAAATACGTTGCTATTGTTCCATCAAGCAGTGTCCTCAAGCTTTGAGGAAGGGAGCTTTTATTGCACGTTGGTCATAGATAGTAGTCAACTTTAGTGGAATGTGGTTGAATGATCATTAGAATAATTGGACTATCTATGTTGGTTTCATCCTGTTAGTATATGGAGGTCAAATAGGAGAAACCAGTAACTCAAAAAAGGAGACCAAGCTAAAATGGAAGTTCTACTGATGTTAGGCAAAATCAACAAAAGATATGAGGTCCACTCGTGGATATTGCATGTTTATGTGGGGGAAGCTAATGACAAGAGAAATAAAAACCAGAATATAGTGGTCAAAAGTAGCGCAGAAGCTGAGCCTAGAGCCACAGGTCAAGGAATATGTGAAGGTCTATGGCTACACAAGTTGTTCAAGGTATTGAATATCTGTATGGAACATCCTACCCTGCTTTTATTGTGACGAGTCAGCAAGTGATTCCTCTCTCGATCCTTTTCAACATGACAGAACTAAATATGTTGAGGTAAATAGGCACCTCATTGAAGAGAAAGTTGAAGAGGGAATCATATTTATGACCTAGGTTCCTACAAGAGAGCAAACGACATATATCATTACAAAGTGTCTAGCCCATTAAGGAGAAGATTGAAGGAGGATTCATATCCCTTATCTACAAACCAGCTTGGAGGCAAACTGCAAATATCTTTATAAAGGGCATGTACAAAGAGAAGTTTCAAGAATTTGTAGGCAAACTGGATAAAGATTAACATCTATGATCCGACTAGAGGGGGGTGAAAACCTCCAGATTAATCAGCATTAATGTGATTTTATTTATTTCCTTCCAACTTCTCCTCATTACCATGTAAAGAGTCAAAGATAGGATTTAATTCTTTATTCCTTGTTTTTAGCTGAGATTAGTGTATTACCTCAATGGGTCTATTTTACCAAAATCTTGATCAACAAAGAGATGAAAATTCAGATCTCTTTGCTTGTAGTAAGCTTCTCAAATCGATATACGGGTTAAAACATAATCCCCTAAAGCATGGTTTGAGAAGTTCACCAAGATTGTTCTTGTACACGAATATAGTCAAAGGCAATGTTACAATACCATATTCATAAAGACTCGGCCAAGGGAGAAATTGCAATTTTGATTGGGTACATTGATGACATCACCAGTAGAATAAGTTATGTAGAAGAGATAAGTAAATCGAAGAAGACACTTGTAAAGGAGTTTCAAACAGGACCTTGGTCCTCTTAATACTTGTTAGGAAAGGAAGTAGCTAGATCTATTAAAGGTATCTTGGCCTCATGATGGAAGCAGACAATTGATCCCTTGCCTGGCATAGGAATGCTTGGATGCAAACCATCTCACAATCCTATGGAAAAGGATCACAAAATAAATTTCAGGCAAGAAAACCCTCCCACTGATGTGAAGATCTATGAATGATTAGATGCCGCTAGTCAATGAAGAAGCCATGTAAAGTAACTAAAAGGAGCCTAATGTATCTAAAAAATGAAATTGAAAGGGGAATTTTTATTTAACTGTTTATTTTAAATTCTGGTGAGAAATTAGAGATATATTGTGATGCAATTTTAGGGTTGGATCAATCACCGAGAAGAGATTAGTAATTTATTGCCCTATATGCAGGGGTAAACTTTTAACCCCAAAAGGCAAAAAGTAACCAGTTGATGCTGAAGAAATATCATGGGCCATGGCTCTTGTAATTTGTGAAGGGATTTGGCTCAAACATGTACTAAAGGAACTACAAAGCAAATACAAGGGTAAAAAAAAAAAAAAAAAAAACAAAAAAATCTGCAATGTGATACCAGACAATATAGCTAAGAATCTTGTCCAGCATGACATAACCAAGCGCATAGAGATTGACCAAGGCATTACACAAATCAAGTGTAGGAAAACCTGTATGCTTGCTAGGATTAATTAATATTTACTCCCCAGCATGAACTAGAATGTTGGCATTTGAAAAGGAAATTACGAGTAACTAGGCTGATTTGCTGAAATTATTAATGGTGGTCAAACTTGGAAAATAATCAAGATCTGGAACTAATTATTAGAAGATCTAATCTTCTTCTTCAATCCCTGATCTCATGTTACTAATATCATATCTCTCCAAATCCTAAGTTTCTTTCTTGCCTTTTATATTTTATAGTTGTTAGACTTCGTTTCACAATCAATGCATCTTCTTGTTTGCCACCTTTCTTGGAGGGTGGTCAGCAAACCTCTCTTCTATCACAACCAGCTTATTTATAGTTTGCTTTCTTCAACCTTTGTTTCAATGATATTTCTTGTGATAAATACTAGTCCAGAAAGTTTCCTGTTAACAAGCGAGTCTCTCAACTATGGAGGGAGGTAGCACTGTGTCTACGGCATTAGTTCATTATTTATTTTTTACTCCTAATATTATCAGTATTTATCTATTAATTATTTTATCCAGTCAGTTTTCATTAACTATATCCTTTAAGGAATTTAATTAGAATCACCATAGATTTTAATAACCCTTGAGCTAGAAGGCAGGTTTATTGTTTCTAAAACCTATATGTCCACTGATTACAATGAATAATTGCAACATACTGAGAGAAAAATTAAGCTCAACCACTTTTCACCATTTCCGAATATCTTAGCTAGACCCTTTTGATGGATCATAAATTACTTCAGCAAAGTGTTGTACTTTTTAATCAGACCAGTCTTCTATATTTGGGGAAAATATTTTTATGTCTCCACTCTGGTATACAACAATATTTTTATGTCCTTGTGGTGGTATCCAACAAGTGAATTTCATAGGGCGTCCTCCTAGTGGAGCTACAAAGGGATCTTCTAAGCTAATTATACGTAGGTTGAGTTCAATGGATTATTTACATCAACAGAATACAAAAAACATAACAAAGTTCCAGGCAACGTGGAGCAGGTAAATTCTATCAGCTGGTAATGGTAAGAGAGTCAGTCTTACAGCCAAAACTAGGAAGGGAATGACTTCCATAATGATTAAGGTAGATTTCACTCCAATGACACTGAAGAATCCCATTGAGCCGAGTACAGAAAGCATAACAAGCACAACGCCAGAAAGACCAAGCAAAACCTGGATTACATAAAATTAGATTATGACCAACGTCAAATAATCATGCTTAAAATTAATTCTAGCACCTTGGGCCATTCACACAGGAAACTTCAAGAAAACATCATACCTTGGATGATATGTAGAAAGTTGATAGATGAGGCATATCTCCCAAGGTTACAGATACATAAGCAAACATTACAAGGTAGCTTGCCTAAGGAAAGGTAGACAAGAACTTAGAGGTAAGGATGAGCACAGAATTTTGATTCAGTTAAAACAAGCAAATGAAATAGTTCATAGGCACACAATACACAAAAATTATTCAATTAAATGGGAAAATTGAAAATGCCATACTAGTATCGTTACAACATCTGCAGTGCTTTCTCTTTTTAGTTCTTCCTCAATTGAACTCTCAGCTGAAAATGACAAAGTAAGATTTCTAGACGTCACCATTGGCAGCAAGTCCTCCTGTCAAAAGAAAAATTGATATAACAAGTTTGCTGTATCATACACGCAAAGCACACTGGCTCAAATAAATCATTGTTATAAGCACCTCCCCTATAGGCTTTAATACAAGACATTTCGTCTAAAAATTTATTTTTCCCCTAAATATCCTCTGATTTGGTATTCCCTGACTAACTAAAAAAACTTCCTTTAATTAATTAATTTTATTGATGGTATCTATGAAATTTTACAAGAATCACCTACTTTTAACTAGCCTCCACAAATTTTGTAACGTTGTTAATAGCTCCTAAAAAAGGACCAAAGAACAACGTGATGCAAGCAATCTTATAATACTACGAATCTTAACCAATCGAAGCAAAACAGAGTTGCAGCAACAAGGGTTGAATACAGTTATTTTAATGAAAAACACACCTAGTGACACACACAATGTTCAGAAAAAAGGGCAGATTGATAAGAGGCTGCCAACCACACAATCTTTCAAGACGTATTCCAGAAGGCACAAATGTACCCGCACTAAAGAGGTGAATAGTTCCTTTCATGACAATTAAAACTCGTGGTAGAATTGCAGGGCTTCCTAATTTTATTGGGACACTATCAGAGACAAATTACACATCAATTGACCGACCTCGCCAACAAGAATTTATTCAAATGGTCAACTGCAGCAACAAATGACTCTCAAACAAGCCATGACTTTAGTTCTGGCGTTTAGGCATCCAGTTGTGGAATGTAAAGCATCAAGGAATAGGGTCGCAGCAATCTTATCTCAAAATGGACATCCCACTGCTTATTTTAGCAAGGGATTTTCTTTTTCCAACTATCATAAGCCTCCCAATGAGAGCATTATTTGCTTGGATGGCTCTTTGAGGTGCATACAGACTAGTTTAACTCCAAAAAAACAAAATCATTGGCTAAGGATCAGATGTAAAGCAGGATTAATTAAGGTGATGGGTATAAATATCGAAGAAGAAAGGCTTTAGGGTGGGGATATTGGTGTGAATGGGAGTAAGGACATCATATATTGTAAAGATATGTAAATATATATTGTAATTAGTATAGTATCAAATCAGATATGATAGGATAAAATATTATCTCCTAATAATGAGCCATTAATGGTCCAGGCTCCTTTCTTGTGTATAAATTTCTCCTTTCTGATCATGAATATACAAGAAATATATTCCATATTATTCTTTGTTTAATATGGTATCAAAGTAGGCCATTTAGGGTTAGGTTTTCCATCTGGTTTCACTTTGTTTGTGCTGTAAAGTGGGTCTCTGCCGTCAGCTCGTGTTCAACGTTAGGGCTTCTGTGATAGGTGTCTGGTGGGAGCACGCGCCGGCCAAGGAGGATTGCACGGTGCTGACCGGCCGATCCCCGAAGTCTCGTCGCCGTCTGAGCAGCGCGTGAGCCTCACGCACCGTCACCTGTGGCAGTACCGTTCACGCACCGCCCTGTTTTTCGCCGTCTAAGCTCCTCTTCGGCTTTGTCTTCCCTTTTCCAACGTATCCCTGGTGTTTTTCAGATCTGGGTCCTCCCCTTTGTGTTGATTCAAAGCTATTAGGTTACTGTGCCTTGTGAACAGTAATGTTTCAGATCTGGTGTTGCTGTTCCTGCCTTCTATAAACTGTAGGAGGTGTTGTTTGGTCCCTGGTGTGATCATTTGTGACTACTTGTTCTTTCTTACTGCTGCTAGAATTATTATCTCCTTTCTATTTATATTTCATAGGTGATACTAAGTCTACAGTTACCTCTGAAATGGTTCCAATAGTCATTAAGATTACTGCGCACAAATTAAACTGGACAAATTATCTAGATTGGAGTAAGACTATTCGTATCTACTTATGAAGCATTGAGAAGGACAATCATTTAACTGAAGACCCTCCGACCACAGACTCTCGTCAATCATGGTTAAGGGACGATGCATGGCTCTTCTTACAAATCCGCAACTCCATTGATAGTGAGATTATTCCCTCTGTTTCTCACTGTGAATTTGTTAAGGAACTGATGAATTACTTAGAGTTCCTATACTCAGGCAAGGGAAATATCTCTCGTGTTTATGAGGTTTGCAAAGCTTTCTATCGCGCAGAGAAGCAGGATCGCCCTCTAAAGACCTACTTCATGGATTTTAAACGAATGTATGAAGAACTGAATGTTCTAATGCCTCTCACTACTGATCTGAAAGTTCAACAGGCCCAACGAAGGACATGGCCATCATGAGTTTTCTCATAGGTCTTTCGCCTGAGTATGAGACTGTTCGATCTCAAATTCTATTTGGATATGAAATTTCTACCCTTTAGGAGGTGTTCTCTCGTGTGATGAGGACTGAGAATCTTTCATCGCTAGTTACCAATGCTCCTGTCAGTGCTTTAATCAGTCGAGGACAAAATGAGTTGTGGGACAACTAACCGTGACGGTTCTAATCAAGGGGGAACCCCTCCAGATTTAAATAGGGTGATATGTTACTACTGTAAGGAATCGGGCCATACGAAGCATGCTTGTCGTAAGCTACAAAACAAACAACGTAATAACTCTGCACGTGTGGCAACACTAGCTGATGACAAGGTCACAATCTCTGCTGCTAAATATGCTAAATTAAAATCTCTTACACCACCCGTGAGTGCTCCAGCTGCTACAAGTAATCAGACTACTGCTCGTCTCTTCTTCCTCCAAATGGATCATAGATTCTGGTGCTACTGACCTCATGACAAGTAACCGTCATCTCTTCTCCACGTATAATTCTTACGCCAATCCTTCAACTATCACTATTACCAATGGCTCCTATTCTCAGGTCCTCAGATCAGGCACTATTAAGCCTACCCCCACCATTCATTTGTCATCTGTGCTAGATGTACCCGACCGTGCATTTAATCTGCTTTCCCCTGATAAACTTACTCGTCAATTAAACTGTTGGGTCTCACTCTTTCCTGATCATTACTTGATACAAGATCTTTTGACGAAGAAGATTATTGGTAGGGGCTTTGAACCTGGTGGATATTATTTCCTTGACAAGCAACGGTCTCGTGCTGTGGCTTGTACCGGTGGTCTCACTCCTTTTGAAGCACATTGTCGTTTAGGTCATTTGTCTTTGTCTTCTTTAAAAAGGGTTTATCCTCAATTTCAACACTTGTCATCTTTAGATTGTGAGTCATGTCAGTTTGCCAAACATCATCGTTTTCTTTTAGTTTCTCGAGTCAATAAACAGGCTTCATCCCCTTCTGAGCCAGTTCATTCTAATGTTTGGGGTCCGTGTCTTGTTGAGTCAAAAGCGGGTTTCAAATATTTTGTTACATTTGTTGATGATTATTTTCATACAACTTGGTTATATTTAATGAAAAGTCATTCTGAATTATTCTCTCATTTTTGGGCCTTTTTTATTGAAATTAAAACTCAGTTTCATACTTCTATTCGCACCTTATGTAGTGATAACGCTAAAGAATATTTTTCTACCACATTTGAATCCTATATGCTTCAAAATGGTGTCCTTCATCAATCTTCTTGTATTGATACACCAGCTCAAAATGGTGTTGCAGAACATAAAAATCGCCACTTACTAGAGGTGGCATGAGCACTCCTGTTTCAAATGAAAGTCCCCAAAACTTTCTAGGCTGATGCTGTCTCCACTGCTTGCTTCCTCATTAACCGCATGCCCTCTTCAATTCTTGATGGTAACATTCCCTATACTACTCTTTTCCCTTCAAAACCTTTGTTTCCTATTGATCCTTGGATCTTTGAGTGTGTTTGTTTTGTCCGGGATGTACGACCATCTGTCTCCAAATTAGATCCGAAGTCTCTTAAGTGTGTCTTTCTTAGCTACTCTCAGGTTCAAAAGGGCTATCGGTGTTTCTCTCCAACTCTTAATTGTTATCTAGTTTCTGCAGATGTCACCTTTTAGGAATCGATTCCATACTTTTCTTCGTCCATTTCACCTATCCCTCCTCTATCTGTGGAAGAGGATGACCTTCTAATGTACCCTGTTCTCTCGCCACCCACTCCACCACCTCCGGCTCCAACTCCTGCTCCTGCTCCGGCACCTGTGCCACCACCCCTATCTCATGTCTACACAAGACGTTCTAGGGAGACCAATGTCACCGTCCCAGATTTCGGCCCTCCATTGTCTTTGTCATCAGATCCTGCGTTGAGCATCTCTCATCCTGAGCCTACACCTCTCTCCAACTCTGAGACACCTCCTGTTCCTCATCCAGATCCTTCACTTGACTTGCCCATTGCTCTTTGCAAAGGTAAACGCACTTGCACCCATCCTATTTCCTCATTTGTGTCTTATAACCACCTTTCCCCTACCTCTCGTGCCTTTGTCTCTTCTTTAGATCTTATTTCCGTACCTAAGACCCTTCATGAAGCTTTAGCCCACCCGGGTTGGCATGCTGCTATGGAAGAGGAGATGGCGGCCCTTGACCGGGCTGGCACTTGGACCTTAGTGGATCTACTGGCAGGAAAGAAGGCTATTGGGTGTAAGGGGGTCTTCACCCCTAAAACTCGAGCTGATGGTACCCTTGACAGTCTTAAAGCTCGCTTGGTTGCTAAAGGCTATGCTCAGACCTATGGTGTTGATTACTCTGAAACTTTCTCTTCTGTTGCGAAACTTTCCTCCGTTCGTCTTTTCATCTCTATGACAAAAACCTATGGTTGGGATCTCCATCAATTGGATATGAAAAATGCCTTTTTACATGATGATCTCCTTGAAGAAGTCTTTATGGAGCAACCACCAGGCTTTGCTGCTCAGGGGGAGCGTGGAAAAATATGTCACCTCAAGAGATCCTTATATGGCCTGAAGTAGAGTCCCCATGCATGGTTTGACAGGTTCAGTACTGCTATGCAGAAATTTGGCATGTGTCAAAGTAAGTATGATCACTCTATGTTCTACCAGAGCACAGACACTGGCATGATTCTATTGGTTGTGTATGTAGATGATATTGTGATTACAGGGAGTAAAATGTCGGAGACCTCTTCACTTAAGTCCTTTCTTAATTCTCATTTTCAAACAAAAGATCCGGGCCCGTTAAAGTACTTTCTCGGAATTGAGGTCTTGAGAAGTAAGAAAGGAATCTTGTTGACTTAGAGGAAGTATGTTCTTGATTTGTTGAAAGAAACTGGTAAGTTAGGGGCCGCGCCAAACAGTTTTCCTATGATTTATAATCCACTCCTTGATGCCGATGGAAGCATACCATTTGAGAATCCCGTTAATGCTGATGAGAGCAAGCCATTTGAGAATCCGGAGAGGTATCGAAGATTGATTGGAAAATTGAATTATCTTACTATGACTCATCCTGATATCACTTATCCAATCAGTGTACTTAGCCAATTTATGGTCTTGCCTACTATCAGACAGCGGGAAGCTTTAGAGCATGTGCTTCATTACTTGAAGGGGTCTCCAGGTTATGGGATATTATATAGAAATCATGGTCATACAGATATTAAGTGCTTTTGTGATGCTAATCATGGTGGTTCAAAGGCCACAAGAAGATCCACTACAAGATATTGCGTCTTTGTGGGAGGAAATTTGGTGTCCTAGAGGAGCAAGAAACAAAATGTGGTGTCACAATCAAGTGCAAAGGCAGAATATAGAGCTATGGCACAATCTGTGTGCGAGATAGTCTGGTTACATCAATTACTGAAAAAGGTCGGTCTTAAAACCTCGTTACCAGCAAAACTGTGGTGTGACAATAAAGCAGCCTTACATATAGCTTCTAATTCAGTGTTTCATGAACACACAAAACACATTGAGATTGATTGTCATTTTATTCAGGATAAGATCAAGGAAAAATCCATCTCAACAGGACACGTGAGATCCAGTGATCAATTGGGTGATCTCCTTACTAAAGCTTTGAATGGGGTTCAGATTGACTATCTTTGTAACAAGTTGGGCATGATTGACATCTATGCTCCAACTTGAGGGGGAGTGTAAAGATATGTAAATATATATTGTAATTAGTATAGGATCAAATCAGATATGATAAGATAGGATATTATCTCCTAATAATGAGCCATTAATGGTCCAGGCTTCTCTCTTGTGTATAAATTTCTCCTTTCTAATCATGAATATACAAGAAATATATTCCATATTATTTTTTGTTTAATATATATATTAATCGGTTGGAAGGTTTTCCTGTTTTCTTTTGTTTTGGGGGGGGAGGGTGTTGGGGGAGTTGGCCCCCGTCAAGCACAACTCCTTCCGTCCCTAATGGCAAGAGTTTACCAAAGAATGGCGGATGTTTTCTCCCCCACGTCTGATCTACAATTCATCAAATTCAATTGCTAATTTCAATTTACAATTGACAAGTATATTTCTAATTATAATAAGAAAGGTGAAAATAGATGTTCTAGCAAACTCCAGCAGACTTTCAATTAGCCCTTAATTCTCGTGACATATATGGTCATGTTATCAAGGCTCTTCATACAAGAAGCAAATAAGAATCATATTTAAAAAGAAAAAACAAAAGAATTAACTGCAATTAAAGTGTTCAGTAGTGAAACCTTTGCTAATTGGATGAAAGCCTTTTCCCATGCGATTGCTTTGCCATTTTCATCTCCAATTTCAGCAATTGCATTGTTGACTGGGTAGGTAATAACAAATGCAGAGGCCTAAAATAGGGCGATCAGAAAAAGGTGAACACATAGCAGGATAGCTAAGAACAAAATAAAGATCTTACCTCAGAAAAATTGTTTGCAGAGAACCCTCCCAATGCAGTGGTTGGGTCTAGGGGAGCTTTAAAAGCACTGAAGCATGTTTCTGAAGAAGTATAATGCTAAATAAAAATGTAAGAAAATCAGTGTCAATATATAATATATAGTTGGACAAGATAAAAGCATGAAATTACAAATGAAATCTCATTGGTGGCTCATACAAGGTAATACATAAATTCAGTAATATTCTTTAACAAAAATTAAGATGGCACAAAAGTACTCAAGGGACATTAGAACTAAAACATTTCTTACTTTAATTGACGACGTGGACTTTCCTCTTGAAGGATAAATCCAGAGTCTCAAATGTTCCAAAACTTCAACTCACTAATGCAAACCCAATTCCAAACAACCGCTAAAATATTGTGGATAGATAACAGGACAAAGTACTTGAACACCACACTATCCTATTTCCTTACTAAGAATGGTTTTGTTTATCAGAATTTATACGCAACTCAACCAAGTAGACTGGTGAGGCTAAAAGAAAAATAGCCAATTGCTCAACCGTAGGAGGGAGTCAAATACTTTCTGTAGTTTGATGATTCTGAGCAGATGCATGTAGACACCAGAGGGCCATTCTATTAGGCCAAAAAGATAGGGATCTGTTTGATCATGTAGGACCAGTTTTAATCATGGAGGAATTAGCCAGCGATTTAGTTCCCTGATTTTCCTCACGCACATTCTTATATAAATAAGTACCATTTGTTTCAGAAATAGAAGCAACAATCACTTCTTTCATATCTTCAAATCATGGCCTCGTAATATTACTATCCTTAGGAGTTGAGTGTGGACCACAAGCAAGCCTTGTCATTCACTGTTTCTTTTATTTAATCAGAAATTTGAACAAACTCATAAAACAAAAATGCTCGGAAAATAGTTAGATGAATAATCAAACCACAAGAAACATGTTAGTACGATTTACCTGAAAACAATACTCAGCATGTTCAACGCCTCCATAGTCATCATAATTCTCAGGGTCCATTTGAAAATACTATCAGAATCAGATAAAAGAGGAAAGAAAGGACAACAACAGAAGCCATCAGATTATGCACAAGCACAATAGTGTAATGAAAAGGTGTCAAACAAGAAAATCCTACTGATTGTACTTGACAAACACAATAGAAGCCATCATGCAACACAAAAAATTAAAAACCACTGGACAATCATTTCCGACTATGGACCTCAGACCTGCAGAATGCTTTGGGTGGCACAGTCCTGGCCCAGAGGCTTCAAGCAAATGTCACCAAGAGATACCAATGAACCAGAATAATTAACATGAATTTCGTCAACCTGTTAGAATAATTAATCAACAAATATGTCACCTAAACAAACAAATCAACAAATATTATGTAACAAGGAGGGTGCAGCAAAGTATACAAACAATTCACTCAATTTACATCAATTAGCAAGTAAAATGGAGTCAAAGCTGAAAATACCTTTCTCTGTATTTCAAAAAGTAATTCGATGTTTTCCTCGGTTATGATACTTGGTGGCTTGCCATTCTTAGACATAGGGATTGTTCCAATCACTAACTGGAATATAAGCAAAAAGTACTCCAAATGTGATTTCATATATAATGTATAACATCAGAACAAAGGAAATAAAATTAACAGAAAATAGGGAATAAAAAATTGAAGTGACATTTAAATCAAACATGATTGCACAGATCGAACAAACATTCTGGAGCCACCAGAAAATTTACAGAACCCAACAAACACAAAAATGACATAACCATGGGGTTCAGAAAATGAAAAGAAACAGAACAAAATAACAATCCCTCTAAAGTTTAATATCAAATCAATATATCATCAGCTACCAAGACAAAAACAAACAAAAGGCCAAATTTATGAGAAAACCCACAATATTTTGAGAAAATGTTATCCTTATTCTGATACTCAAATCTACCCAACATAAAAGGGGTAAAAAAAAAAAAAGAACCCAGCTAGAATTGAGGGAGAGTACAAGGAAATAAGCCATCAAGTAGTTGTGCAAGTTATGCCGTAATACTCAGTTATGCTAGTTATATCATTATAACATGGTTGGAATGTTGCCTATATGTCCCCTACTCCCCTGTACCCGCTCTCAGAACAATCAATACAGATTACTTCCTCTGATTCTTCCATCTTGTTGATAAGGGGAGGTACCAAGGCTGGTTTGTAAGTTAATTTACTTAACTCACACAAGGCCAGATATTTCATATGCAGTAAGTCAATTCTCAAACAATCCGAACAAGGATCACATGACAGCAGTTTATCGAATACTACATTATCTAAAGTCCACACCTGGGAAAGGACTATTCTTTGGGAAAACAAATCATAGAGGAACAGAGATCTACTCAAACGCTGACTGGGTAAGATCAACAGTAGATAGGAGAACTACCACAGGCTAATCTTCTTTTGTCTGGGGGAACTTAGTAACATGGAGAAGCAAGGAACAGTCAATTGTTTCATGAAGTAGTGCTGAAGCTGAACTGAGAGCATTAGCCCAAGGAATATGTGAGCAAGGAGCTAAAAATAAGTCATGATAGCCCAGTGAAAGTATTTTGTAATAACACCACTACTATAAAGATTGTAAATAATTCAGTTCATCATGACAGGATGAAACATGTTGAGATAGATTGACATTTTATCAAAGAGAAGATTGAAGAGAAGACTACTAATGTCATACACACTCGGTCTAGTCACCAAATTGCAGATTTGATGACTAAAGCTCTGTCAACCACAAAGTTTGAAGGTTTCTCACAAAAGTTAGGAATGATGAATATCTATTCGCCAGCTTAAGGGGGAGTGTTGAAAGATGAAGGCCTAAACCCACTTAGGAGGACCCAATTAGTTCTTTATTAATTATTTTATGTATTATTTACATTAAAATGAATTAGATTAGATAAGATTTGTTTTTATCCTGATTTAAATTTCAATTTCAAGATATTAGGTTTTATCTTTAGGCTTTATCCTCTATTTTGACTACATATATGAAGCAAATACATCAACAAAGCTTTGAAGCTGAGCATCAATTACTCAGCCAATTTCTTCTTCATTCTCTCTCTCTATTTTCTTCAGGCACATTTTATGACACAAACATAACCTCAAAAAGATATTTGACCCAAAAAATAGGAAAGAACTATTATGGTTTTAAGAAGATGCACTCACGTCATTAATGAGGTGTTAATGAGGTGATTCCATCATAAAAGGGGAGCAAGCGGCAAGTATTCTAACACTAAGAGGGATCTAATGCACACAAATTATTCAATCAGATCCCAAGATATAGGCTTAAAAAAAAAAAATATTAGACACATCCTACCCTAAAAGAAGTAAACAATAGAATCAGAAAACATCCAATAGAACCATAAACAAATAAACAACAACATCAGGAAATAAATGAAAAAAAGATCAAAGTCAAAGAACAATTAATACATTGAACACGCCTTTTGAAACAAAATCTTAAAATTTGACCCTTTTTAGTTCTTCCAATCACAGAAAGTTCCTCCTCTAAGTTTTCCCTGATCCTGAAATAACTTTTTTTCCTCAAGGAATCCATACTACTCAATATGGGACTTGAAACATTTCATGCCACATCAATCTCCATCATAAACAATCAATAGCAATATAAATATTGAGAAAAGCTTGCCATATTTTTATTTTGTACAGAAAAATTTATAGACAAATTTTTACTCCCAGTTCAAACACCAACAACTACACCATATGAAAACATTCCGTAGTATCCTAACAAGGTAAAGAAAATTATATGTAATGTGAAAACCTGTTCAATTCTATAGAACGGGGCAAGGTGACTGTCAAAAAATTGTTTCTCTTCTGCTGCCTTGCTCCCAGGACCAACCCATAACTGCAATCAACCCAAGATGAAATAGTTTAAAGATGATTAAAAGCAATCAGCAAAACCAATAGTAAAGAAAAGGAGATCATATATGTGGATCATTTCAAGTGACAACAACAACAACATTCTTAGCTTTTGGTGAAACAAAAGATGAATAACTGCAGCAAAGAATGTGAGTCAGTCAGTGATAAAAGAAAAGAGAAAAGTAGAGTAGATAGAAAAATAGAGAGATGAAACTTAGTCATAAAACCTCTAGGAACATGCCAAGGGTCAAGCAGCTCAAAAGCTCCAACTATTAAGAGGACGTATGATGAACTCATGCATTAATTGTAAAGAGTCAAAGTATTATTTGTGTTAAGAGCAGCAAGATTAGCATTAGTTAATTATTATTTATACGCTTACTTTATATTTCCTTAATTATGTCTACCTATAGAAGTTGAGAGAGGATGTATTGATTCGGCCCAACAATCAAGGGGAATACATAGTTATACACAGCATACTGAGTACTGGCTGAATAAATGCTACGACAATCAAGGGATTACCTAATCAGAATAATTTGAAATCAAATCCTATCATATTTACATTTAGGCCTATAATTCCGATCTACATATTCAAATTTGTCCCTGGCTAATCCTTTTGTCAGAACATCTGCAGTTTGCTCTCTAGATGATACTTGGGTTAGGCTGATTATTCCATCATCTATCTTTCCTGTTATGAAGTGTTTATCTATCCCCACGTGTTTGGTTCTATCATGTTGAACTAGATTATGTGAGATGTTGTTGGCTGCCATGTTATTTCAGTAGAGATTTATCAATAAACTTGCGCTCTTCTTCAGCTCTTCAAGTACTTGGTTTAGCCATATGCCTTCACAAATGCAACGTACAACAGCCCTAAACTTGGCTTCTGCACTATTCCTTGCATCGACAATCTGTTTTTTGCTTCTTCTAGTTACTAGATTACCCCAAACAAAGGTGCAGTACCCGAATGTGGATTTTAAGTCATCTTGGTCACTTGCTCAGTCTGCATTTGTAAAAATGTCTACATTCTGCTTATCTTATTGAATAAAAGTCCACAACTTGGAGAACCTTTCAAGTACCTAAGAATCCCATAATCTTCGTTTAGCTCTTTTTGCTTTACATCATGGGAGTGTTAATTGACCAGGCTAACTACAAAGGCTATGCCAGGTCAAGTGTGAGAAAGATAAATCAACTTTCCCATGTATTGGTACCTTTCCACATCCACAGCCTTACCCAAAGCTTCGTCATGAATTATCTTGTCAACTCATTTATGGCTCTTGACAAGTGCCAGGTGCCTGAGATACATCACCTGTCCTGTGCCTACGTGAGTAGATCTTTACAGGTTTATTAGTGTTGCCCCCTAGACCAGAAGTTCCCTTATTTTCAGACAAACAACATTAATTGCTTCCTCAACCAGTATGTCAAGAGTTTCAGGTATAAACTCAAGAGTAGGTGGTTCATGGTGGAGTTCTAGAGTCGGTGGTTCATAGTGGAGTTCAAGTGTCTCATTGGTAATGGTCTGAAATTCACTTCAACTCTCCCCCTGAATTGAAGATCAAGAGTAGTAGGGGTCATCTACATGAAATGTGACATCACAGGTGACAAAAGTTGTTTAATGACAGGATCATAGCATTTATCAACTTTCTAGGATGCAAAGTACCCAAGGAACATACAACAGACAGCTTTAGGATCAAGTTTAAGGGTGTGATGAAGATAGACATAGGTGGTGCAACTAAAAGCTTTCAGAGGAGAGGCGTACACAAGATATGGTAGGTTGTAGTGTTTACATAAGACTTGAAGAGATGACTTATGAGACAGAGTTCTGCTAGGCATGCAATTGATGAGGAAAGTGGCAAAGAGAACAGCATCATTCCAATAATATTTAGGAACATTACTACTAAACATGATTGCTACAGCTCTCTAAAGGATATGTCGATTTTTTCATTCAACAATGTCATTTTGTTGTGGGCTGTAGTGACGTGCTTTTGCAAACTATGCCATGGTTTGTGAGAAAAATGGAAATAGTTTTGTGTAAATACTTAGTTCCATTAAGGTGAGAGAAATTCTCTTGATTTACTGATTCATCCCAATCAAGGAGAGTATATACAACAAATTGTGTATTGGCCAGATAAATGTTACAGCGACTACATAAACAGAATAATTGGAAATCAAATCCCATCATATTTATATTCAACGCCTATATTTCCTATCTACAATCTTGGAATTTCTCCAGTATCTTATCTTAATATCTTATCATATCCTCTCTCTCTCTTAAAAAAAAATAAATTTGAGACATTGGATTAGTTTTATGATTCTAGGGTTAGCCTGTTAACTTATGTTTACCCTATATAGAGCCATTGTACTCAAAGGTTTATTCAAGGACCAACAATAAAACAAAGGTCTGTCTCCCTCTACCTTCAATCCTTCAATTCAGATACTCTTAGGGGCATAGCATCATAGCATCGATGATTTGACCACCATAATTTAGGGGTTAGAAACTGATTATAGTATATGAGATTATTCTAATTCTCTGCCTTGTCATCAGCCCTAATGATAGAAACCGAAATAAAACTGAAAGATAATTCTACTAGGGATGTTGAGGCAAGTATCTCACTCCCAACACTCTAATAGCCAAGAATAAAATTCCACTAAGAATAAGCAAAGCAAGAATCTCACTTTACTCATCTCAATAGCCAACAGAAGGAGAATCTCCAATTGAGTCAAATTAATAATCTGTTAATTTCTCAATCATACCTTAACTTCTCAGATAGCCAGCCTATTTATAGAGCTGGAATACATTTGAAATAAGCAAATAAAATCGACATAGTCCCTAAGATCATGGAAACTGACTCCCTAAAATTTAGGCTCACTAACTAATGACATAGGAAAATAACAGAGTTGAATAAAATACTTGACTCAATAAATAATCCTAACAAACTCCACTTACTCCTAAACTTGTGCAGCAATTAACCACACCACTAAAATATTAATAAAATACAATCAGGTTAATTAATTCAATTCCACAAATTCACTGCGACTTGGTACACTATCATCTAACAATGCATATTCTAGTACAGTAATCTAATTAGAGTAAAAACAGTTTATTTGCTCTGTTGCCGTTATTTATCTACACTGCTTTTCTTTGCACAAATTATGAGGTATCAATTCCCATGTAGTATTACAAATTTTAAATAGCAAGCGATAGCTTTGACAACCAGTTACTAGCAAGGAAGGAGTCAAACAATGTTGCAAGTACAGCTTCTAGCACTAACGAGTCTACGCATATCCTAGCATGGATAGATACTTCCAAACGGTGACAAAGAAGCTGGACAGGATGAAAAATAGGGAGTAGGTGTAGACCGTCAAATTTACTACAAATGGACTTCAAGGAAAATGTGGCTATTTGACCAATGATCCCAACCACCACAGACTACAGAAATTGCTGCTCCGAGGAAATGGAAGACCAAATATGCACTCCGCTTAAATCCGGCTTTGGCAACAAGTTCAGCCTCGTGAATCAATATTTTGAACCGGAAAACTGTATATGCTTAGGGTTTGCCTCTTAAGCCAAATGTTCTATCAAATCTAACCCAAAAGAGTAACTTGGTCACAAGGACGGCTGAGCAAAGCTGTTGGTCCAGGAATTCATTCACGAATCCCAAATCTATGACAATTTGACAGGGGTTGATGATCAACTATTTGTTGTAGCACCACTGATTGTAACTACTTCCGGAAAGATAGACCCTCATGAACTGTTGAACAACAATATTGAAAGGCCTAAGCCTATTAGGGCTCATTAATCCAATTGTCCACTTATGTTGTTTATTATTACTGTTATTATTCTTAGGATATTTAGGAGATAAAATCAGAGCAAATATAATCTGATTTTATAGATAAGATTTCTTTTTTATCTATAATCAAGTAGATAAGATAATTTCAGTTATTTTCTTTTCCTATATGCAGGGACCAAGTACTCAAGAAAATTTTCAAGCTGAGCAATCTCAGCCAATTCTCTCTAACAATTTCATGAACTACACTCAAGGACAACCTAGAACAATAAGTAGCCGATGCCATCTAATCATTACTATCGCAAAAGCCAGAATAACCAAGCTAGCACATCAAACCATGATCAGATAAGGTAGATAATGGAGATACTATCCATGTTACAAGCATCGATTAAGTTGCCCAGTTCTTCAGCAGTTTAGCTCAAAAATCTGCTAGAGCTAAGGATCACTAACCCCTTAATTCTATGCCTGATTATAAGCCTATTGACTTTAGTACGTTATACATTAATTCCATTAAATATAATAATCACAAAATGCCTAATATTCATAAATATTCAAGAAAAGACGGCTATCAACACATGAAAATACCTAATAATTGTGACTACCTTGGTCACTCTAATGAGAATATAAACAAGAGAAACAAGAAATAATGGATGCTAACGTGAATTGAGTAGATAACAAAGGGAGTGCAGATAGCAGAATTCCACGAATTATAGTATCACTAAGTATCATACAGTAAGAAGTTCAAAACAAATTGAACATTTATTTTGACAACCTAGCCAAACATGTCTAAAAGGAATTTTAGAAGTAACAAGAACAGCCCATTAAAGAAAACTAAGCACCACAAAAAATATCACATCACATTAAATCACAAAAACTAATCTGACTTGCAAATTGAGGAGATACCTTCTCAGGCTGGGTTTCAACCTTAAAACGAAGCAGGCCCAAACAAAGCAAAACAACAATTGCTAATGAAGAACAAAGAACAATAGTGGGGTTTCTAGCAGCCCATCTTCCATAAGTCCTGGATCCAAAAGCAAAATTTTATCAGAAGAGATAAAAGAGAAGGAGAGAACCAAGAGACAAAAGGAGGGAAAAAACCAAAAACTAGCAAGGACTAAAATTTCTTACCTATAAAACCTGGACATATATCCTTGAACAAGAGAGAGTTGTTTTTCATCACTTGCATGAAAACCCGCCTGGTAAACAATAAGAAGTCAAGACAAAAATATTATACATTATAATATAGAAATAAAACAAAGTTGGGTAATAAACAAACATATATATTTATGTTATTCCAATTCGTCCCAGCCCATTGCCACCACCAAAACCGACAGAAGGAAAAAGGGTAGAAAAGAGGGACTACTGGTCCAAAAGAAATCACAAGGTTTAAGGACCACAAAAGACAGGAAACTAGAGGAGCATAACATGGTAGCCTTGATGAAGTAAGAGGAGCAATTAAAGTCCTTGACATGGTGATCTGGAAAAAATATTTGTCAGGCCTTGGAGAGAGCCAACCTCTTGAAAGTTGGCAAATTCGTTATATTCTTGACAATTTAGATTTATTGTGGTAGGTTTGTTTGTGTAGTAAATAGTTTAGTTCTATTGTTCATCTTATGTGCTGGTGTTATGAGTCTGCATTCCATTTTTTCACTTGTCAATGTCATTTGTAGCAATCTGTGTTGTTCAGTATCCTGTAGCAAGGGTAAATCAATTGCCTTTGCATCATTTTGTCTGAAGGGAGAGGAGAACAATTTTGGCGCCATAGAGGAGAAAGCCAACCCTAAACCTCTTATCTTCTTGATGATTCACCCATATATTTTGGGATGTGTGTGTAGTTCTTTTGTTCATCTTATACGATGATGTTCTGAGTCTATTCCATTTCTTCATTCATCAGTGTCATTTGTAGTATCTGAGTTGTTTAGTATCCTGTACCAAGGGTACACCTCTCGCCTTTGCTTCATTTTATATTTTGCTGCTGTATTTCTGTGCTTTTTTGGGTGTAATAGGTGACTAGGTTGAATCTTGTGAGCCAGTATAGTGCAATATTTATTAAGTGAAAAAGTAAAACTCAATTTTCATCATATGATTTGATCTCAGTTTATACTGTTCTTAGCTCAGTGAGACAACTTTACAAGTCCCTAACATATTCAAATTAATGTCAGGTCTATGTCCAAAATAAAACAAAAAGGTTTGGGCTGACACTCCAACCATGAACCACATTAGCAAATTTAAACGCGTCTTTTTTCCAATAGAAATAACAATAGGAAGTCACCAAAGGCGGTCGGATCAAGTGGAAACAACCCAATTCCCCTTAGCAAGGTCAAGTCAAACCTTGTCAATGGAAAAAATTAGTTGGAAGAGTTACCCCCAATGGGGCCCAACAATATTTGAATCTAACCTAATATTAACAGATTTCAAATAAATGTACCCAAAAAAAAAAAAAATTGAAAGTCCAGTCTACAGAATTGAAGCTCAGGCATTGTGTGCCAATAAGAAAATGAAAACATAGCAACACAATATTAGAAAATGTACAAGGCAGAAAAATACAGTCTGTCACTTCCCAATGTTATTTTTTTATTTAATTTTATATCCTTTTTATTTTTGGGATTTTGCAAATCAGAGAGGTATTTGCAGAAATATAGGTAAAATGAGAATGGTTCTGAAACGAAGAACCACTCTGTTATTTCATGTATTGAGAATACACTGAAACCTGTACATATATCCACAGAAGAATAGTAACAAGAAAGTAGAAATCAAGCAGAAATATTTCGCTGTTAAGTTCAGAATATTTCCCCTCATAAACTCTAGCAGTAGTTTTCGAAAATATATAGCTGACCCTGAAGCAATTGATCCCCAAACATCAGGGTTTCCAACAGTATTTGATTTATTTGTACCAATAATCTGTACAAGGGTGGTTTGCATATGAACCGTAGAAGCAATAAATTGCTTTGTATGCCCCTATTTTCTCATTTAATGCAAAATTATCCCTTTATCAAAAAGGGGGAAAAAAAAGGTATATGAACAGTTGAAGCAATAAATCAGTAAAAAAAAAAATCCCCTAAAGAGACATCGGGCCCAGTAATGTAGAAATAGCCTAATATCTGCACCAGATAAATGTCTTCATTATTTACAGTAATTCAATAACTATGGAGATCTTTAGAGTATTTTTCCACCCTGCCTAGTACATTGTGCATAGCACTCTTTTATTGATAAAAATAACAAGCAAATTACGTATTAGGCTAGCATCAGGTCAGTACCACGAGTTATAAGGTTTCTTTGTATCTTTATGCTAGCATAAAAGTTGTTGATCCAAACATTACACAATACCAATAAACATAGACCCCGTGCGACAAATTTTATATATGTGTGTTCCCGTGCTCATGCGCCACAGTCCAGCTTACCACATACTAGGCATAACTGAGACAACTGAAGGGTCTACCCACTTAATAACTCACCAAAAGACGAATTCCTTTTCTCTCTAAGAAAGTGAAAATTATCTGAATCAGTTAATAATTCATACGATAATAATTAATAATTAAATAACTAACAGGTTCCACAAACCAGATCAGACGCTCTTGATGCCAAAAGTAGAAATCCCGTCATTTTGAAAGTAAAGCTAAAAAAAATGAACGCAAGAGAAAGCCATAATTCCAAGGCTCTGGAACCAACAATTGAAAGCTAAGTGAAAGCAAATTGAAATCTTTCTGTTAGATCTCAAACACAGATTGACAACAACAACAAGCCTTATTCCACTAGGTAGAGTTAGCTACATGAAACGTGCAACGCCAAACACACAGATTGACATCAAAACAATTTTGCATTTATTAGACAGAACATACCTCTCTGAGATTGTTTTCATCCTTTTGAAGATTACTGACATTGCGCTCATTAGCGCCCATGTCACTCAACAATGGCTCCGCATTGGAGCCAAGTCTCCCCCTTTCTCTTCTCCCTTGAAACCAGACCCATCCAACCAACATGATAACCAATACAATGTAAAATATCACCAATGAAAACTCCAAGCAACGGACCTACAGGTACCATTGAACAGAAATTAAATTCACAACAGGTATCTTATTGCCCATCAGAGTTCATTAGACCATTATGGAAAATGGCAGAGTCATAAGTCAACTAATCATGTGTTCCACTGAATCATTAGACCATCAGAGTTCATTGTTTAAACCTTGAGAGATCCAAATTTGACAGTGCAGGGCTCTTTTTTGTCAGGAGGAGGTTCAGGACCAGAGCACAGAGGAGATGAAGGGCAATCACCACAGGAGCAGCCCAGTGAAGTGTCAGTACATGAATAGACAGATGCGTTCATAGGTTCCATTGGAGATGAGTCAGGAACAGCTGTCTTGAAAGTTATAGAATAGGGTGAACCAGGACCACCAGGAGGTACTTTTTGACCAATAAATTCAAACCATTCTGGCAATAACATAAAAAATAAATAAATAACTAAAATAAAATAAAAAGGAAACAACTAAAAACAAAACAGAAAATAAAGATATGCTATCAAAATGATGTTGAGAGATGTTAAGGAAGCTTTTCTGATGGTATGCCTCTAGGAATTTCAGGTAGAATTCTTGGTAAAATTCAGAACAACTATAGGCCAAAAGGCATATTCCTCTAGTACCTTTTATTGGTCTTGAGGGACAGACCTCACAACTCATAATCAGATTCATTTTCAATAAATCCCAGATTCTATGCGTATTTCCAGATTATAATTTGAGGGCAGATTCTATGTATATTTCCTAGTATTACAATTATTACAATAACTACGATATCACAATATCTAATGCTTCCCCTCAAGCTAGTTTATATTTAATGTATCATCACGTTTACTTTCACAACAAAACTTTGCAGAAACAATAAGATGCTTATTGTAATTAGTCAAAGATGTTAGGGGCAATAATCACATGACCAGCACCCTAGGCATTATAAGAGGATTATTACTTGTTGCCCTAATATCTTGCCCAATTTATTGTCTCTAATCAATATATCTATTCAACTTCCATGTACACAAAATATATGAATAAAACTCTCCTCTGATTGCACTTTGTTCCTGAGGTACAAGCAACATGGTATCAAAGCTTGCATAAATCACTCATATATCTTTCTCATCTGTTCCATCTTTCTCATCAACGATAGAAGATGCATTTAACAAGAAGATACCCACAAGCAACGCTAGCAAGTAGTCACTATTATAAACTCAAGCCCCTCAGTAGTTGCTACTGGCTTCAATGTGATTTCCTCAAACATGGGTATTGATGGATGATTCCAACTCACAACAAAGAAGCTAAACAGGAAGAACTACAGGGAGTGGGCTCAAGCCGTCAAACACTTGTCAAATGTACAGGAAGGACGGGCTATCTCACCAACTCAAGGAGCCACAAGAGCATAGGACACTTTTGTTTTTCATTGATTGAGGATAGAAAATTCCCTTGTCACATCTAGGGTGGTGAGTTCAATGATACTTACAGTCATATGCATCATCATGTTCCTCAAGCCTAAAAGAGAGATCTGGGAGGAAATATAACTAGCGTGCCATGATGGTAAAACACTAGTAGATAAAGCGGAAGGTGAGAGAGATGTCATTGAATATTATCTTGAAGTGATGGCCTTGTGGCAAGAATCAAATCATCACAATAAGAATGAAAGGAAAAACCTAAAGGACTGCTTCCTGTTCAAGCAAAAGGTTGAAAAAGAGAGAATATATGATGTTTAAATCATGCCTCACCAATGAGGTATTTCTCCTAAATTCTTCCTTCAATAGACATTAATATGCTCTGTGGCCATTGAAAATAGTTGTCATCATTAAGCTTGTGATCAATTAACAATGGGAAGGAAAAAATTCAGCACATTCCTAAGTATTGCTACACTTCTTGATACTGGATTCATCACCAATGATGCTACAAGCACTCAGTTCTGGTTCCTCAATATTGATGCCATGTTAATGCCATTGTAGGAAGAGAATAGGGCAATATTTGTGGAGCTCCATTACCTGACGTCGAAGAGGGGTTCACAACACCAATAGTTAGAACCCCAATGTGGTTAGATTTTTAAGATATATTGAGCACCACAGCTCTGATACACTTCCCAAAAATCTGATTCTATTCTTTATTCATAAGAAGTAAAGGATTGGTGAGTACATTGTCCAACGAAACAAGTAATTGCCCAAGATACATCAAAATAATATTTGAAACAATATCTTGATGATATCACCCCCAAACAAAGAAAGAAAATAACGGAGGAAATAACAAAGTCATAGCCATAATCTTGACCTAGTAGATGAGCCAATATTGGGCCTTCAGGTAACCAAAAATGATGAAAGCACATGATAAAAGAGTTACAGTATTACCTCTAAAATTTCTAGACCCAGCTCCAATAAAATCTAATGCCCTTGTATTCATTGTTCCAAACTTTACATCCTGCATGAGCTATATAAACCTTCACCAAAAGTTTCAGTGACAAAGAAATCGATGCCATCCACAGTTTTGTTGCCATTAACCTAGGAAAAAAAGGTGATCTTCAATATCATCTAAAAATTGGATCTTCAAGTATCACATAATAAAATAGAACATTATCCATGAATTCAGATTTCAATCACATTCGTAAGACAAAGTGACCGGTTTTGTTACATTGTTAAAACTATTAGATTCATTGACTAGCTCAAGCTTTTCTATTTAGAAACATAGCTCATCCTCCACCATCACATTTTCCTCCTGTGAGAGTCATTCTTTGGACTTCCAATTTATCTCGATTTTTTAATTCTTCAAATCTATTATGATTTTATAATCTACTAGATAGAATATTTTCTTATCTAGCCAAATAGATTTAGGTTTACCCTAGATATTATTTTATTTCCAGTATTATTGCTTTGCAACAGGAGAAAGGCTCTTCCTTTAAATGTATTTCACATCTGCTAAAAAAAAATGAGGCTTCAATCACTAACAGCTCAACCAATCTTCATGGTATCAAAGCCATGATCACTTTAACACCATTAATAAAAAAAAAAAACACATGGCAACTCAGCTAAATCAATAAAGTTCCATCAGGTTCATCCCAGGAAGACGAAAAGGTGTACGTTGATAGCCATGCAATCCCAAGAAACAGCAATCATTTGAAAAATGCAACTTGAAAAGCAAAGAATAGTCATGACATTTCCTGCTAATTCAATTATGCTCGAGGCCAGGCAAACGTTTATGCTATATAAAATGGCCAAAGAAAATTAGGATGCTGCTCAAGACTCAGTTCATGAATTGCAAGCACAACAATGCTACAAAAAATCAAGGGAAAGTCTCACAACATGAAATAGGGCACCATGAATATTACTTCCTCCAACCCAAAATGTAGGAACTAGTTAATTCACACAATTTAATTGTGAAATATTTGCGAAAATAGTATTTCTTATTGATCTCAGGTAATATGCATCTAAATATATATACACAGGAAAAAGATGAGAATAAAGGCTAATAAAAGCTATACAATCAGAAAGTATTTACATAAAAATGGCAAGCATGAAAACCTCAGCACCTTCCTACTTGAAAGTTTATCTAACAGGGTTGCATATGGATTTAAGGGGAAAAAAACATAGATAAAGGCTAGAATCATCATATTACAAGAACGTGAAAGAATTTCCTAAGCCTGGATGCATTAAATTCAAGCCCATAAACAAAAAGAAGACACTTAAATAGATCAATTAGGACAGCAGTATCGCTTTGAAATAACATCCACAAAGAAAATGTATGACCTCAGAGATAGAAGTCACGTTGATGAAGAGACTCTGATTTGGAGAGCAAGAAAGTTCACAGAAAAGATTTAAAAAGTTCCTCAAGCATGCCGGACAGCCCACAAGAATAGGTATTGCCTGCAAGATAATGAGTGTTCCTGTCACCACGATAGTTAATAACAACATAACCATAACATGCATCATTATGTCAAACATGAAGTTTATATTCATGAATATTATAATGAGAATGTTGGCAGCTGATACTACCGGGCCTTGGCCCTAAACAACTCTAACCCTAATTAATTTGAATTTAAGTTTTTGTTGAAGACACCGTGGGCCAGGCCTATGACTAAGTTCTCGAGTTTTAATATTAGTAGATATTATTAGCTTGTAATTATTCCTTGTATTTTGCAATTCTGATTAGGATTTGACTCTGTTTTGAATTCTTCTTTGATTCTGTAATTTGGCTGATCCTAAGTAAAGATTATAACTCAGGATGTGTGCCTTTAAATACTATAACTAGCCACTGAATAAAATAAAGCGTCCTAAGCACCATCTCCTACATGGTATCAGATATCAGAGCACCGCCAATCACCATGATACAAAATTGGTTTTGGATTGGATCCACCAGGCCAAAATGGTTCTTCCCCTTCATCACATAACATGGCCGTGACCAAGAACCAAGGGATAAGCCAACAATAGCCAATTGATGCCTAATCCGTGCAATCACCAATCATAGACTTGACGGCCACAACTACCTACAGTGGTCAGTCAGTGTAAGACTATGTGTGACCAGAAAAGGCAAGCTCGACCACTTAACAGGAAAGAAGCCCAGACCACAACTCACAAACAAATCATCCAATGCTGACCTCTAAACTTGATGACAACGAACATTAGCATGAGTTTCTCTTAATTTCAATTGGCCAAGGAGGTTTAGGATGTTGCGCATGATATGTTTGCCTTGATTAAGAATAGAGCAGCAATCCTAGAGATGGAAACAAACCTAGACAATCTTAAGAAAGGTAATCTCTCAATCACTAAAGTCATATAGAAACGGGTGCTTTCTATTCTGAAGGAGGCCAACCGAATGATAATAAAGATAAAAGGAGCAATACATGGTGTGAACATTGTTAGAAAGCAAGACACACCAAAGATGTATGTTGGAAGCTCCACGGTAAGCCACCAAACAGCAAAGGAAAGGGGAGCCGAGAAGGCAAAGCATATGCAGCCACCTCAGGTTCCAAACCTAATCTTGGAGACAAACTGAGTAGAGAAGATATAGAGTTCTTAAGAAAGCCTCTAGATAAGTATGACAGCCAAGAGACCTTGGTAGCAATTGGTAATGTGGCACTCACAGGTAAGGCTGTTCTAGCCCTTAAAACTAAGGTACATCCAGATAATATGTGGATTGTAGACTCAGGGGTTACTAATCACATGTTTGGTGATATCAATTTTGTGCAAAACATAAAACCATGCCCCCATCCCATGTTTATTAAGGTTGCTTACAGGAAATTCCTCAAAGCACAAGATAGTGGTGAAGCATGGTTATTTGGAAAGTTACTTCTGAAAAATGTCTTATATGCACCTATTTTAAAGTGCAACCTTATATTTGTCAGTAAAGCTACCTCTGTTCAGTTATGTAACATAAATTACTTTACCTCTTATTGCTTGTTTCAGGACTTGAAGTAGGAGACGAGGATTAGCATAGCTAAGTTGCTAGAGGGTTTTACATGGAAGAACAATCAAGCACAAATAAAGACTCTTCAATCGCTAAACCAATAGGTGGTTCTTTTGTTTCTATTCAGGATGATAAAATTTTGTTATTGCACTATCGTTTAGGCCATCCCAATTACATAGTTATTCTTCTATTCCTTGTGAAATCTACCAATTGTCAAAACATACAAAGCATATATATCTTGCAAAAGCTCACCATACATCTCAACCCTTTTTCCTAACACATAGCGACCTTTGAGGACCCTCACAGATCACAAATCTTACTGACACCAAATGGTTTGTCACATTCATAGATGATCACACAGAGATAACCTAGGTTTATCTATTAAAAATAAAATCTGATATGACAAAAACCTTTCAGAATTTTCACAAAATGATCCAAAACCAATATGATATCTCTATCAAGACCCTAAGAAGTGACAATGGCACAGAATACCTAAACTTTACCCTTCAATCTTACCTAAAAGACCATGGTATTGTCCACCAAACCAACTGTGTAAACACCTCCAATCTTACCTAAGTGACAATGACATCTATTGGAGGTAACAAGGGCAATCATGCTTACTCATAATGTTCCTAAATTCTATTGGGGAGAAGCAATACTCACTGCCACCTACCTAATTAACCGTTTACCTTCAAAAATTCTGAACTTCAAAACACCAATCCAGCTCTTGACCGAAACATATCCAAGCTCATACCACTTCACAAATATCCTAGAAAAAATCTTTGGTTGTATAGCCTACGTCCACAATGATTCATGGTGGAAAACTTGAACCTCGCCCCCACACGTGCATCTTCCTTGGCTACTGTTCCACTTAAAAAAGCTACAGATGTTTTTCTCCTACCCTCGAAAAAAATCTTATGACCATGCTGAAAATCAAAGCTATTACCCCAAAACACCCATTCAGAGGGGGAGAGAGAGAATGGGAGTTTTTGAAGTCCCTAAACATACCTAGTCCAACATTACCACCTCTAACCAAGCCCGTGCCTCAAGCACTAAACCCTGAACCAAACCTGGACATGTACCCTGACACACCAGAGTTGGAAATAGATAATCCTAAAGATAAAAAAAGGGAGACCATTAAAGCTCAAGCACAAGTACTGAGAATGGAAGCTCTGAACCAGAAAATGAGGCAAGCCCAAGCCACAAAGAAGAACCCTCTAAAGCTAAATTAAGCCATGATACAACACTAGCTCCAAGCTCTGATAACCTTAGATAACCTACTTCAGAAAAAGGGTCAAAAAACTGCACTCAACAACCTATTAGCAATTTTATATCCTATCATCGCTTTTCAACGCCTATGTTGAGTTTTGTCACACAGTTATCTGATGAAAACTTACCCAGCAACTTTGGTGAGGCTATTATCAATCTAAACTAGAAGGAAGCTATAACAAAGGAGCTCAGGGCACTACATAAAACAGAGACTTGGAAAATTACCCAACTAACTTAAGGAAAGAAGACTATGGGGTGCAAATATGTATTCACATAGAAATGCAACCCAGATGGTATAATAAATAAACACAAGGCAAGACTAATGGCAAAAAGATATTCACAAACTTATGGTATTGATTACTAAGAAACTTTTGCTCTTGTGGCAAAAGAATATTATTAGAATCTTTTTGTCACTTGCAATGAACCTAGACTAGCCTCTTCACCAACTTGATGTGAACAATGCATTCCTCAATGGAGATCAAAAAGAAGAAGCATACATGGAAGTACCTCAAGGGTTAACGAGCACAACAATCCTAGAATGGCATGCAAACTCTACAAATCACTCTATGGACTAAAGCAGTCATCAAAAGCTTGGTTTGAGAGGTTTTCAAAAGCTGTTAAAAAGCAAGGAGTTGTCCAGTGTCAGGCATATCATACTTTGTTTGCAAAGAAATCCAGAGGTAAACTAGCTACACTAATTGCGTATGTGGATGATATTATCCTGACGAGTGATAATGCATGTGAGATAGCGAAACTCAAATAATCACTAGAGCAAGAATTTGAAGTCAAGGACCTAGGAGTACTCAGATATTTCCTAGGAATATAGGTGGCAAGATCCAAGGATAGGATCATTGTTTCCCAAAGAAAGTATAGACCAGATCTTCTAAAAGAAACAGGGAAGCCAATAGCTAAACCAGCAGATAAACCCATGGAACAAACTAGTAAAGTGGATGGGAAGTAAGAAGAGTCAACTGCGAACCTGGAAGGTAACAGGAAAACGAAGAAAGTGAAGCCTAAGAAGGAGTCAGTACCTATTGATGCTGAAAGACACAAGAGACTGGTAGGCAAGTTTCTAAATCTCTCTCAAACTTGTCCAGATATAAGCTATGCAATGGGTGTGGTAAGTCGATTCACAAATGAGGCATTAGAAGAGCATATGAACGCAATATATAGAATCTTGCATCACTCAAAAATGACTCCTGGCTGAGTATTATTCTTTGCCAAAGGAAAGTCTCAAGAGATCATTGTGCATACTGATGCAAATCATGGAGGATTCCTACCTGACAGAAGATCCATCGGGTTACTGTACTACGGTATGGGGAAACCTAGTCACATGGAGAAGCAAAAAGCATACAGTAATATCAAGGAGTAGTGCAGAAGCAAAGTTGCGTGCCCTAACACATGGTATATGTGAAGGATTGTGGATGCTTAGAGCTCTGAGAGAGTTGGGGGTACTTCCTAACACACCCATACAATTGAGATGTGATAGTCTTCGCCATTGGGATGGTCAGAAATCCCATTCATCATGAACGAACAAAGCATGTAGACATTGATAAGCACTTTGTTAAAGAAAAAGAAAATGCAAGGATTATCAAAATATCACGTCTCGTCATGTGATCAGGTTGTAGATCTATTCACTAAACCATCAGGAAGGCCTCTATTTGAGGCAACTAGAGGCAAGTTGGGAATGTTGAAGACTCTCTTTGAGTTTTAATATTAGTAGATATTATTAGTTTGTAATGATTCCCTGTATTTTGAAATTCTTATTAGGATTTGATTCTATTTTGAATTTTTCTTTGATTCTGTAATCTAGCTGATCCTAGAGAAAGATTATAACCTAGGATGTGTGCCTTTAAATACTGCAACTAGCCACTGAATAAAATAAAGTTTCCTAGGCAACATCTCCTACAGTTTTTTATTCAGTCTATTATATAGGAATATCTTTCTGATATATTTATCCTTGTTTTGATTCTGTATCTTCCTTGAACTCATAGAATTTCGGCCAAATCACTAGGATGTCCGCCCACCAGTCTCATATGATTGATGTGCTGTATCTATTTATTCTCATCATTCTATTTGAATAAATCAAGTTCAGAATCATGAGAATTGTACAGGGAACAATACAAGCAAAACCAGATTTATTACTACAATCCTAGCAGGCAATACATATGCTATTTTGCATGATTAGGCATCCAACGAAAAATGGGTTTTGGGAATTGACTGAAATTCTCCCCTGCAAGACACCTGTGAGTTATATATGGGTTCTAGCCATTAAATATAAGCCACGGTACAACAGCAAACATATTGCTAAATGGTTTGCATAACCCCATGGTATTGACTGTCAATAGACTTATGAGAGTGAAGTATAGAAGTATAACTTGCCTGTTGGACCTGTGCCCTTAATGTATCAAACTGGGTCTCCGTACAACAAATATTTCCAGTTATGGTTGGACACAAACTTTGAACTTTGCCGGATAGGAGCTCATCAGGCTGCAATGTAACATGAAGCAGTCGTATTGAACATCATAAGAATTCACATTTCTCAGGTTCTCCAGACAAAGGAAAAGACAAAGCCCACATGTAAGTATAATGTAAAGAAAAAGAAGACTAATACCTTTACAGAAGGGGAACTATATGGGCAGTTCAGAACTTTCCCATCACTCCGTTCACCACATATGCCATACATTGCACAGTACTCAACAGAATGCTTGCCCCTAAACAACAACAGAATCAATAAAACCACCTCATAAGAATTCACAATTCTAAAGGCTTGGTTTAGGCAGCCTTACCTAGATGTATCATCGGAAATCCAAAGAACATTCGAGTCAGAAGTCGCGGCCCTCGACAAGGATGAACACAGTAATAGCACCTGCAGATTCAAAACATTTTAAGTTCAAGCCGGTGGTCGATTGCTAAGATGCATTGATACCTTCAACCTTTCTCCGTTGCTATAAAGTCTTGTTTTGGGCAAGGAGACCAAGCAAAACGCGTAAAAAGAACAAGGCTACAACTTCAGAATAAGGGGTGTAGGAAGCCCCAAAAGCGTCACTAAGCAGATGGTCGTTAAGCCCAGAAGGGGCTTCTTCGGTGTCACCCAGGTACCAAAAGTGTGATGCAAACTTTGATTTGGAAGCAACCAACGACAGAGTTGCACTCTAAAAGCATGGAGAACTTCGACTCGGCAGTGACATTTGATGGTAGCTTATATCAGTTTAAAATTGTTTCCTTTAATACTTGCGTTAAATAACGAACGCGATGATCAGACGGAAGTAGCATAGTCCAGTGAATGTCATCAAGATAATCATAAACCGAATCAATAATTAGTTCTGTTATGCATGAGAAGAAGAAAGATCAGAAAGGAATTCAATTCTTGCCTGAAAAAGAAACGCAGCAACGACGACACCGAAAGCAGTACCCATTCTCTTCTCTGTTACGCGAAGCAAGATGGAAGCTTGGCTAGGTTGATCATGTACGCCGCATAAGGATTAGAGCCGGAACTCCCAGCTGCTTTTGCCCCCTTTCTTTCTTTCTTTCTTTCTTTCTTTCTTTGTTGGCTGTAAGTAGGTGGGAGTCTCGGGTCGCTGCCTCACTTCGGGGTGAATGGGACGTGATTCTGCGAAAATATATTCTTTTATGAGACCTCATAAGAAAAATATCCGCGGAAATGAATGATATACTGCTAGAAACGCAAGCAAGCTAATCTGGAACGGACACAACCACCAATTAGAACGCGATTATCAGATGCCTCACCATGCTCCAAGCTCCAAAGTAGGAATCGAAGTCGTTCAAGCAAAACTCGAGTCAAGACTCAAGACATATCACACGATAAATATGGGGCAATGATGACAAGCATCTTGGTTCTGCTGAAGTTACCAGGTTGTCCTCCGCCTTCAGTTTCACATGAAATATTAAGGGCCTGTGTTTGGTTTGAAAAAGGAGGAGAGGGGAGGGCTTTAATGATCCCTGTTTGGTTCAAGGAGGGGAGGGGGAGATAGTAATAATCAATTTACCATTTTACCCTTACATATTAGTTTATGTTTTTATTGATATATTATATAAATTAATTTACATCTTAATTTAAATTATATAATTTAATAAAAATTCAGTCTTATCATGTTAATATGTGTATTAAAAAATTGGTATGGTAATTTTATTCTAATTAAATAATAATATATTTAAAATAATCAAATTAACAAATTTTATATGCTATAAGAAAAATGAAATTTTATTTTCTTTAGGCTATCTTTTTTTCAGCTTTAAAATATATTTAATAAATAATATATTTATAAAAAAATTAATTTATAATATATATTTTTTATTTAAATATTTTTTATTTTAAATAATTTTTATAATATATTTTAATTATAATAATGTATATTTTTTATTTTTTACTTAGGATAATATATTTTTTATTTGAAATAAATATTATAATAATATATTTTATGGGTATAGTGGAATATTAAAAAAGTCATAAGGGTATAATGGTCCAAAATTTTGGCTCCCCTCCAAAAACCCCCAATTTGGAGGGAAGCCAAAAGGGGAGAGGGAGGGGAGGGGAGGGGAGGGGACATTTTAGCTCCCCTCCCCTCCAAAATTTTTAACCAAATGAGGGGAGGGGCTCATTCCCCTCCCCCCTTCCCTCCCCTCCAACCAAACACACCCTAAAGGGAAAATTAGTTTCCCAATCCTTATAGTGCCTGTTTGGGTCAGCGTTTGCTGGCCCAAACGTGGCTTATAATCACTTATAAGCTCAGTGGGAAAAATGGACCGTTTGGCAGAGCTTTTGAACAATTGGGCTTTTGAATTTTTAAGCCCCTTCAACGCGCGATTGGAATAAGCTGGAGAGGGGGAGCTTCTGATCATATTCTAGGAGCTTATGGACCGTTCTGACAAGAAGAAATCTATTCCTTTACTTTTCTCTTATTCATTTGCCTTCTCCTATTCAAATATGTTTTGTTTTATATTTGCAATTTTTTTTCTATTTCTCTTATGTTTTCAAATTTAATTCCCTCTATCAATTTAACTTCTTCATATCAAATTAACAATAATTCACTGTATTATATCAATTCATTTTTTTTCATGTTTCACATTATATTTAAAATATTTGCTATGATTTTTTTGAAATTTTAAAATTTAATTCACTCATTAATTTGACTTCTTCATAATAAATTATTTTAATTTCATTGTATTATGTCAAATCATTTTTTTATCATATTTCATTATTTATTAACATTTATACCCATTTTGGTCATTTTATAACCAAACTCACTTTTACTCAACTTTTTACCAATCTCATTTCTGCAAATTAGCTTTTCTGAACTCTAATCCAAACACAATTCAACTTATCCAATTTAGCTTTTACCAACTTCACTTTTCCATAAGCTACTTCTCCTATAAGCTGCTTTTTCAATCGCTCATCCAAACGGACCCTAGTTTACTTAAATTTTGAATTAAGTCCCTGCATTTTTTTTCCCTTTTATCAAGTCTTTTAAGATTACACATTTAGCTTCATTAATCCCTACTGTTTAAAAAGAGTTAACACCATTAAAAAAAATCTGTCAAGCAACATGACTTGACAGCAGGTACACAAATAAATTTGACTCAGTATTGAGTTGCAAAAGCAAAGGCACAGAAACAATAATTTAATCAAAAGTTGCTGCTCTTTTACCGTTGACGTCTTTTGCTTTGCACATTAGGCATTGGAGTTCTTCTCTTCATTTTGCAGAACTTTAAATTGTAACCCAATTTTTTGTTTCAATTTGTTATGGTTATCCTCGTCGGCAATACTCTTCTTAGGAACGACTCAAGTCCCATAACACCCATAGAGGCCACAGCTTCACCATGCTTTGGTGTACCAACAGCAGCTTCCACAATTTCAATTTCTTTCACAAGGAGATCTTCTAAGTATCTAACTAACACTACCAAGAATTCGTTTCAGCATTAATCCAAATCAAACACTCTTTTCTCGCTCTTCAATTTTATTATTATTAAAAAAAAACCAGAACGAAGCAGAGAAGCCATTCTTCACTTCTTGAAGCTCGACTGCTTTGAACTAGCCACGCAAATGGAACAACTTTCTGCCATGCTCTAATCCTTCCACTAACTCACCTCCACTTCTCCCTCTCCCTACGAGCCACCCACACTACAAAAAAACAGTGAATTTGTTAGATTGTCGCCATCTCTAAGAACCCCCAACCAACCCTAACCCCAGCCAAGTGTAAGAAACACAATGGGATTCTTCGTCAAGTTTTCTTCATAACCTCGACCACTAACTTTTAAAAGGTTTCAAATTTCCTCAACTATTTTATTAGTGATATGAAATGGCTACCTAGTATCTTTGATTTCGACAAGTGGCGCCGATCTTCCCTCTGGTTGATAACAATGACTCGATTCTCACTGGGGTTTGGTCATGCATAATGATTTGTCTAGCTGTTGGTTAGGTTTGTTTTGGATTAACAAATTTTTTTAAAACACCAGTAAATCTTTTTAAACAGTTTTAACAGTAGGGACTAATGTAATTAACAGGGGAAATTTAAAGGACTTGATAAAAAGAAAAAAATATGTAGGGACTTAATTCAAAATTCAAGTAAACTATAAAGACTGGGGAATTAATTTTCCCAATATTAAAATACTCTTATACTTGGGGTGAGCAAAACCAAACCGTAACTGAAAATAAAAAACCAGATCAAATTTAATTTCATTTTTTCAGTTCGGTTATTTCAGTTTTCAGTTATATACTCAGTTTTTATTTTTTAATAATTCGGTTTTTAGTTTTCGGTTCAGTTAATAGGAAAAAAATTAAGTTATAACCGAAAAACCTAAATAAATATATAATATATTTATATTTAATAGATATTATTAGAATAAATATATAGGTGGGTATATGTGAGCTCTTTAAATATATTTATATTCAGTAAATATAGTTATAATAGATATTATTGTGATAAATCACATTGAATAATGAAATATTTATTAATTAATGTTTATAATTATGTTTTATTATTTTTCTAATTTAAAATCACTTTTTAGATTTATATATTTTACTTAATCAGTTAACCGAGTCAAAATATTTTGGTTAAATCGGTTTCGATTAATTTAGTTAATCAATTTCAGTTTGATGTTTAAAATTGGCTCTATCTGGTTATTCGATTAGTTCAGTTATCACTAAAAAATTGAATGCTCACTCTTGCCTACACCAAATAAAATTACTTATGGCTAAACAAATAACCGAATTATCTGCATAAAAAGTTAATTAAAGTTAATTTAAAATAATAAATATCTAAAAACATATTTTTTAAAGTATATTATTAGTTATAGGAAAGGCGAGTGAGAGAGAAAATGGGTAGGAGAAAAATAAAAGCAACATCTAATTAATTAGAAGTACAAAATTTTTTTTAAAAAAAACTCATTAAAACTTATAAAAAGTATCGGTCTATTTGAAAAATATAATTTATAAAAAAATCAGACCTAATGTTAAAAAATATTGAAGAAATAACAAATAATCACTTTCGCTACTATAAAATACTCTGGCATGTTTTAAGCATCAAATGGCTCCAACCATTACCTCAGGTATTCAAGCCAAAATATACTTTCATGTTTTGGGTACTTTATCACGTATTCATTGCTTTAAAACACTGTCATGTTTTAAACTTCCACTCTCACTACAAATATTTCCAACGCCATCTGATTACGACAGTTTATCAAAATCATTTTTTCCCACAAAATTTATTCTCAAAATAACTTTTTTATCAATTTTCTTTAAAAACTTTTTTCCAAATCATGATTTGGTTTCTACCCAACTATTTTTCTGTCAAAAATGCATTTGACTTTCTGTGAAATAAATATATTACATGTTTTGACTCAAAGCACAAGGTTACAATTTGCTGGTGAGGGAGAATAGGTTGGAAACAAGAAACGGATCCAAGCATCACTGATCACTAATGTTGCATAGTTGAAAGTACGGATTATCAAACATAAGGTATCTGGACCAATACGATTTATACTTGGAAACAGCAAGATTCAACCATGGCTTGTAGTTCCCATTGTAATGGATTACAGCAGCATTTTCAATCTCTGTTAGATTCAAAGCAGGGTCATAGCCAAGTCCCAAAACATGCCAGCCTCGATCCAACGGATAGGTAAGATTATAGAAGGTGATTAGCCCTGGGGGCAGTGTGCCCAGCTTCCAAAGAGTTCTGTCCTCATTCTGCCAAAAAGAAGAATCATCATTTATATACCCGGTCAAAAAAGAAAGTTCAAGATGCAAGCAAGTCCCCTCTACTTAGTGGGTTACGTAATTTTCTCACCCACCCTGTTGATAAGAAATGTATAGAAATCCAATTTTTCACAACATAAACTATTCAGTTAACTTTTTCAAGTGGCATCGGGTGTGGAGTAGAAAGTTGAAGAAGGGATTATCTTGCACAAAAATAAAATTTGAGGGATTGATAATCAATTTTAAAGTTGGAAGTAAATTACACACTATCCTAAATTGAGAAAATTCTTTGCATTTTGGAGCAAAAAGGGAAAATCCCATTAAAAGTCACTTGAAATAGGAAAATCCCAAATCAGGCAGATAAATTTCATAAATTCCTAATTGATCCATGGACCCAATTTGAGATTTGTGTTTTCGGCCTTTAAACACATTGTCCCTTAATTTTTTTCTCAAAGGCACTTCCGACTATCGGCCACCACCCCGCTGGCAGTTGGAGCTCCAGCAACTGACAGTGACTGAAGCTCCGGAGACAACCTTATTGCAAGGGTTTTATTGTGGATAGCCAATGGGCACTTGTGAATTATTAAACTAAACTTGTTTTGTGATTGAATAACAACAAATGTTTATTAAAGAGTGCAATTTTATTGCAAACCCTTAATAAACCTTTATCGTTATTCAATTACAAAAGAACTTTAGAAATTAACAAAATCAATTTAGCAATACACAAGTCTCCCCTAGTTATTCACAACAAAACTTTTGCAATTTTTTAATAAACTTCTGTTGTTATTCAATCAGAAGATAAGAAATTAACAAGTACAATTTAACAAATCACACTTTCTCATTTAGCTTTTTACAACAGAACTTTTGCAATAAAGTTGTTGGAGCTTCGCTTTTGAGAGGGGGAAAAAAAGAGATGTGACTGTTAGAAAACACTAGGAGCAGTGTGGTAAAATGCATAATTCACAAAATCCAAATTACGTACACGGATCAATTAGGGATTTGTGAAATTTATCAAACTAAATTGAGATTTTCCGTTTGAGGTGACTTTTAATGGGATTTTAAAAAAAAAAAAAAAACACTTTCCATGCATCAAACAATCAGAAAGGAAAGACGACGACATGCCCTAGTAAACATTCAAGTCCTAAAAAAGCAATTATAAGGGCAACCAATTTGTTATAGAAATATTCAAGGAAATTTAAACCACACTTATATTAGGTAAAACTTACCATATCTTGCCATCGATGATAAATCCCAGTGATGTTCCGTTTCTTCCATTCCTTCAAGTCAAAAATATTCATTCCAAACGCCCAGCCACAAGCATTTGGACTGAAGTTATTCGAGATCAGTGGATTACTAAAGTTGAGGTATTTAAAACCTATGGAAGCTCTCTTTGCATGTCTCCACTGCGCCATTCACCATTCCTTCCAGATCAATGGACCAAAGAGGTGTCAAATCCTTCTGCACAACAATGTCATCATCCAGAAACAAAATTTTGTCTAGTTTTGGATAAACTTCAGGAAGGTAGAACCTCAGGTGGTTCAGCATAGATAAATATTTGGGATTTCTATATTTTAGATTGTCAGATCCAACAGAGAGGGAGGAAGGATGATTAACTTTGAAGTAATATTCCTTAATTCTTGCTGATTCAAGTTGCCGAAGAACAGAACAATATGAGGAATTCAGCCATTTGAAATCATCGATATTTTGAACTTCAACAGTAGCTTTAGCAGGGGGGTTGATGAGAAACCACATTCTCATTGCTGCAAAATTTAACTTATCGGTTACTATATGGAAAACGTGCTTCTCAGGTTCCTTTGCATTATGCACAGTAGAATTAACAACCACTGATGTAGCCAGCACATTATCAGAAAATATGGCATAGTGGAAAAGGGATGGATCTTCAATCTTTTCTTTGTCAAAATTTCCTTTTTTATGATAACCCAGCAGGAAATAATCCGCTGCAAGTTGCAACGGAAGGCAATGCAATGGTCTAGGCACAGTTTTGGCAGCTAGCTGAATTAAGAATGCACTCCGTTTCTTTTGCAAATTAACACTCTCTTCAGTTGACTGAAGCATTACCCTCAACTTCCTTGCCACTAAAAGACAGTCATGGAGTTGATCCTTTGCTGTAGACAGAACACGACCCATAGCTTTTGCTTGATCAAGTGCACTTAGAAAAGCAATAAATGGAAACTTTGCATCAAAATTAGAACAATCTAATATGCCCAAGAAAACTAGTTGGGTAAAAGTGCAATTTTACCCCTCATCTTATTTCTCAGGTGCAATTTTATCCCTGATCTTTTTAGTGGTGCACCACTAAAAAGATCAGGGATAAAATTGCACCTGATCTTGGGGTAAAATTGCACCTTTACCCAAACAAGAGAACAAAAAACTAAATCAAATACCTAGGGAGAAGCTCTGCATCAGAACTTGCTTCTCCAATGGCAAGCTGACTTTCTCTAGAGTGTTTTATAAGGGCATTGTAAAGAATAGTTTTGTTCTTAGCCTTTGCAATATTGGTATATGCTTTGGCCATTATTATTTGATCTCGCATGAGTTTCAGAGTTGAATCTGAATTTGGATTCTCATATTCTCTTCTCCATATACTGAACTTCCCCTTGACGGTGGTAACAAAGCCTTCAGCACGTTCAATTGCTTCTGCTAAAGTTTTGCTGTCAGTTTCTTTCTCTTGTAGAATAAGCTGAGCAGCACGAGCTTTCCTTCTTTCTTGCCGCATTATCTAATGGATGAGAAATTATTAGAAGAGCTTAAATGAAGATTAAATTCATAAAAAGGAACAAACACTCATTTATTTCCATTTTTTTGGGTCAAGTTAAGATAGATACAACTTTAGTAATTACCCAGCGATTTGTCATAACTGGGCTCCTTGGTGACGCATGAGGATGATTCCCTCTGATTTCTCCAGAATAATGTTCATCTACAGACTGCCCAGGGTACTCTCCAAGAGTTGAACTAGTGTGAAATGATTTCACCAGTGTCTGAAAGTGTGTCAGGTTATGAATCTTACTGCCAGTGATGAAAGACATAAAATGACAACCCAATTTGTGATGCCATACATTTCAACTAAGAAATGGAAACATAGATATTTTGCACTAGTTGATTCTAATCACATATTATTTTCCCTAGGGAATAGTCCTTGTACTTAATTGCAAGAATCTGAAATGAATTTTTTTTTTATTTTAATAAATTCGATCTGAAGTACCTCAGAGCTCTTTTGCTGTTCAAGGTTTCGATCAATATGGTTTTCCCAGATCCAGGAATCGGATAAGTCTCTCATCTTCATCCTTGCAAGTCTAATACTACCAGAGGTATCACTGTAAGAGGCGATTATGTCCATCTCCTGTAGAAAATTATCACTCTATCAGCACATCGTTGGCTCCAGTGAATACAATAATGACATTCAACAATACCTGTTCATCTGGATAACTGCTGACTCTAGCGGCAGAAATATCCCGATCCTGTTCAAACGGCAATAGTAATATGTCAAGAAGTGCCACAAGTGCACAATTAGATAGGCTTTTTGCCATGAAATGGTTCAGTGCATGATTGCCGCAAAAAACGATATCTTAAGACTAGTAATTTCCTAGGTACAGATAGTTTCTATGTTCATCTACATATCATCATTGTAACTAGAAAACTAAGCAAAAAAACAAGTGGTAAATATATAAATCCCATTTATTCAATTGTTTATTGTCACTTAAAATAGTAGGAGAACTGCATATCAGAACTTGGCTAAAAAATGCAGGCACTTGAAGATACAATAACGAGTGCCTGCAGCTAACTCTGAATAGGTTATGCATGTTAGACCTATATTATTACCGTGAAAAAACCAAAGAGAGTTATACCGTTGTTAGGAAGGAGAAACATATACTAAAGGACATATGCAATCCGAACTAAGATTACAACCTTTCTGCGATGACTTAGCTCACAATCATGCAGGGCCGAAGATCTTCTGATATTTTTTTGACTGGAAATAGAAAAGAAAAGAAAAGGAGAGCATGGTCAAGGATGTCAGTAGTTTTCTAACCTTTGTTACTAGGAAGGCATGGAAGTATTAATAGATAAAGTAAGATCATTAACAGCAAAACGCTTTGATAAATGAATGGACTGAGTTGAGAAGTGACATTACTCGGTCGAAATATCCGACGAATCAGTTCGTACAACGGCAATGACAAACAGAATCTACACAGTTAATTGAAAGAGTAAAATTTCAATCACTGGGTCATATTAAGAAACGAAAAGCGATTTAATAAGTAATACAGTCCGAATATAGGGTTAACTATTTATACAGAGAATCTTGTAATCGATGAATGGCTAAATAGAGATATCTTCCTTTTCCTGATTCTAGTTTACAAAACCAACCAGTTCGACATGTAAATTAATTCTATAACGCTAACGCTAGATATTGAATTTCAGGCAGATGAATGGATCTTAAAGATCAGGAATTATAGCAAGGCATAGACACAAAAAAATCAAAAAGGAAATCACATGGATGTATCAGTCATAAATTGGATCCAAGTTCCGTGAAATGAAGATACGGAAAATGAAAGAGATTACCAAGAATACAAAGAATAGTCGTGGAGAATTGAAGTCCATGACAGCCATAGAATGAACAACAGACGGGGTGCGTTTCAGCATTAAAAATATCAGATTGCAGACTCCATATTACTGCTTCCCTAGTTGGCGGTTAGGGGCCATCTATTGACAGCTGAGTTGAACACAACGCGGGCTACGAAACACTCATTGTCGTCGCATTGCAAGGGTGCAGCGATTGGATATCGCTGTTTTGGAGCCAACCCAAACTCGTTTATACTCCCAAGCAACTTAGTGGCTTTAAATAAAAATAGTTAAAATTAATTAAAAGTAATAAATATATTAAAAATATATTTTTATTTTTTAATATGCCTTTATAATAAATAAAAAAAGATGAAAGATAATGTATGAGGAAATAGAGCTAGGTAAGAAATTAGTAGCCTAGTAGCCTACCTGCAACTCAATAAATTTTTGCTAGTAGTTTAAGTTCACCTCCAAATAATAGCCAATAAATAGGTAAGGTAGCCTATTAAATAGAATGGGTTATGGACAAGGCATTGGGCTACCCATACCTGCATCATTTAAGTTTTTTTAAAATATTTGATATTTCATTTTTTAATCTTTATTTCATTTTCCCATCACTCCTCTCCCTTTCCCATTTTCCCTTTTATTCGAGTGGTCAAGCCAGCCCTACTGCCTCACTTGTTCTTCAATCTTCAGTTCACTCTTGAATCTTCTCTTTCCTCTCCGTTCCTCACCTTCCTAGCCGCAACTTCCCTTCCTGGCTTCCTCCTTTCTAAATTCAAATTTGAAGATTGAAGCTTTTAGAAAAAAGCTCTAGGTGAGTGCATTTTCTCTCTCTTGGGTTTCGAGCCAAGGAATTGCGTGAATGGAAGACACAGGTCAACGCAAAACACCACCCGATTAGCCAGTGGAGGTGGCCAGCGAAGAACAGAAGAAGAAGAAGAAGCTGGGTGAACTAGTCACGGAGATAATGGATGACCCCATGGATGACAGGAACCAGGACACTAGAGTTGAAACGGAAAACAAACACATTGAAGAACAGACATCAGCAGCAATGGAGCCAAAAACTCAGAAAAATTCAATTCCATCCTACAAGCAATCACTACTGGGGTACAATGGAGTAGCAAATGGCGGGGATTGTATGGAATCAGAGGATTTGCTTTTTGAAGAAGAGGAAATCTCTTGGAAGATGCCGGAACCATCCGAAGAGAAAAGAAGACTAATGAAGATATACCCGATGGTGGCTATTTCATTAGAAGAGTACAATGAGTGGTGCAAACCTTGGAATTATTCCCTGATTATCACTGTCCTGGGTTGTCGATTTAATTTGTATACATTAAAAAGCCACCTGGTAAGAATATGAGGAATGTCAGAGTTCGATCTAGTGGATCTCCCTAATAACTACTTTGTAGTCAAATTCACTAGCCTGGATAACTGGAGAGCACATTATAAGAAGGTCCTCTATGACAGGCCATGGGTAATAGCACAACATTGTGTTTTAGTGCAAAGATGGACACCGTACTTCGACCCTTTCAAAAATCTACTACGCCGATGCATAACTTGGGTCTGGGTTCCTCATATACCCATTCAATGTTACAACCACCACTGCATGGCTCAGGTAGGCGAATGAATTGGAAGACCCCTCAAGGTCGACTTAAACACGTTGGCACTAAATGGATCGAAAGTGGAAAGAGGGAGATATGCATGGATATGTGTGGAATTGGATCTACAACGACAGCTGGTACCTAGGATTATTGCAACGGGAGATATCTTTAATGTAGAATTCGAGGGACTAAACCTCATTTGCTTTGAATACGGAAGATATGGACATCGCCGTGAAGCATGCTCATGGAAAAGGAGCCCAAATGCACAAAACAATCAACAACAGCAAGAACACGAGAATACCGAACAAGGCCAACAAAGCCCAATGGAAAAGACACCGGTGACGAAACTGAAGAAGATGACTGAAACCTTCAGTCCATGGATGTTTGTCTCAGGATAAAAGAAGGCTCGGTTATTGACGAAGGGATATCAGAGGGAAGAACACAATGGGTCAGGCGTCCTACCTAAAGCTGGCGAATAAGGCAACCCGTAGACACCACAATCAAGATACGTGGCGCTTAACAATCTCGAGGAAGAGGAAACAAGCAATCAAGCCTTGGAAATCGGCAACAAAAAAGAAGGGGAAATATTTGAAAACGAAGAAGAAACGGGAAGCTTGGCGGGACAGAGGAATCAAGTACTGACCTTGCTAAAAGACACCTACGCATGGACCAAAATGGTGGGCCATCCAAGCCTAAAAACAAAAGCAAGGGGTCCAACCAGGCTATAGGAAAAGAGAATGAAAGACCTAACCAAGGAAGTATAGAAAAATTAGAATATGGAACCCAACCAAATGGGAAGGATGATAGGAGGGAAGAGGCCCAAGTCGGGAATTTAACAAAAGGTAAGTCCAAGGTGACTAGCAAAAGAGTGCATAAAGTTGTCCAAGGTCAATTGGACCAGCGAGTACAGAGTAAAAGGGCTGAGAAAACTTCTCATAAGGATCACCAAAATGGAAAGATGGGTACCAGTAAACCTATTTCGGGAGGAAAACAAAATGAGCTAGAGCCTACAAATTGTGCAATGGTAAAGTCAAACTCACTGGATCATCCAAAACCTTCGGACCCGAACAAAAAAACAAAAGACAGTGGAATTGAGGACAAGATACTTGCTTCTATTAAATCAACAGAGGAAGGATTGGAAGAGGTGGAAACCGTGCCTTGCACGTATGGCAGCAATTAATTCCCTTGGGTCTTCTCCTTAATTGTAAGTATGATTATTGCTAGCTAGAATTGTAGGGATGCCAGGGGGCGTGCATTCCCTATTTTAGTTGTGATATTGTGTACAAGAATAAAATTGATATTTGTGCTTAATTGAACCAAGAGTAAGTGGTGAGAGAGCTGAAAGAGTGGTGCGGAAAATTGGCTTCACAAATTGGATTCATGTGGAAGCCTTAGGATATGCAGGAGGAATCTAGCTACTGTGGAATCAGGGACATGTGAATGTTCAATACATTTCTTCAAATGAGCAGATTCTACATTGCCTTATTAGTAGTATACATGTAACTAATGCTTTAATCATGTCTTTTGTCTATGGTGAAATAGATCACCGAAAAAGAGTCTCCCTTTGGCAATCAATTTTAGCAATCGTAGAAGTTACAGAAGAGCCTTGGCTTCTTATTGGTGACTTCAACACTTATAGATTTCTAGATAACAAGGTTAGAGGTGCGAGTCCCAATTTCCAAGCAATGGAGGATTTCAATGAATGCATTATGCAAGCAGGACTCATGGCGATTGAAGACAATCAGACCGAGTTCGCCTGGGAAAGAGGGCAATTGCGGGAAAAAATAGACTAGGCCTTGTGCAACCTCAGTAGGTATAACATGTTTCCTCATACATCTATACATCTCGACTTGAAGTATAAATCCGACCATAGAGTTCTTGTTACATCATGCTCAAGTCACATGGCTCACAGATCACCAAAGCCTCGTTTCCAATACCAAGCCACCTAGTTACTGGAAGAGGGATTCCAAGATGTAGTGAGACAAGCTTGGCAAGATGCAAATTGGATTCAGGGGGCCCAAAAATTCCATGTAAGATCATGGAACATGCAGTCTATGGGAGTATTAGGGAAAGAGGAAGATCCTAAAAGACAAGTGGATATCAAGCAAAATAAAAAACCACAATGGTCGAAAAGGCTATGTTGCAATCAAAGTTGATATGGAAAAAGCCTATGACAGGTTAGAATGGTCTTTTCTTGAAGATACACTCAGATGCATTGGATTAAGAGAAAATATGATAAGGGTAATAATGGCATGAACAAACTCAACCACAATGAAAGTCCTTTGGAATGGTGAAGAAGGACCTACTTTTACTCCCTCGAGAGGTGTATGGCAAGGTGACCCTTTAAGCCCACACCTATTTGTCTTATGCATGGAAAGACTACTCATAAAAGCTGAATGCTTTGTGTAAAGATGGAAGCCAATCCAATTTCGGCACGAGGGACCCCAACTCTCTCATCTCTTCTTCGCAGATGATCTGCTACTTTTTGTTGAGGCTTCACAAAAACAAATCTGGGTCATTAAAAAGGTCATGGCGAAATTCTACATAGAATCGAGGCACATGATTAACCTCAACAAATCTAAAGTGTTTTTCTCCAGAAATGTTAACTTCCACCGAGCTGTTAATTTAAGTCAACGACTCGGAGTTGGATTAACACCGGACCTTAGGAAATCTTAGAGTGCCGCTTATTAATAAAAGGGCAACTAAGGAGACATTTGGGCATATTACAAGGAAAGTAAAAGCCAAGTTATCGTCCTGGAAGGGGAAATTCCTTAATATAGCGGGGCGAACGGTTCTCATCAAAGCAGTTCTTTCAGCCTTGCCGTCCTGTCAGATGTAGTCTACCTTGTTACCCAAAGGAGTCCTGAAGGAAATTGAAAAGATCAGCCGAAACTTCCTGTGGAGTCAAGATGAAAATGCTAAGAGAATGCATCTTATATCCTGGGACAGAATTATACAAAACAAGGGAATGGGTGGTCTTGGTATAAGAGATTTAGAAATTCAAAATCAGGCGTTTATAATGAAGCTATGCTGGGGATTGGTTACCAAACCTGAAGCCCTTTGGGTTAAATGTCTACGTGCTAGATATGACTGTGGTAATGGGACTATACCTATAGTTGTTAAACAGAAGCAATGCTCTTTGACTTGGAAAGCCATCTCCGAGATTTAGGAGAAATTTCTTCAAGGCCTAGGTAAGAAGGTAAACAGTGGCAAACAAACCAAATTCTGGTGGGACTCATGGGCACCCCTTGAAGGGCCTCTGATTAAGTATGCGTCCAGCAATACAAACAGAATTGATCAAGACAGACTAGTTGTTGACTTTGTGTCACTAAGTGGGCAGTGGGAGGTTGAAAAATGGTGAGAGTTTTTTCCAAGTAACATAACAAGACTCCTCCAGCAAGTCAAACCACCAATAAGCGATGAAGAGGATATGATCTGTTGGCATAGTGCACATGATGGCCGGTTCACTGTTAAAGCAGCTTATAAATTCCTTTCTGAGATGGCTAATAACACTGGAAGTTCAGTGTGGAGAGGCATATGGCATTGCCAAGTGCCTGAAAAAATCAAGTATTTCCTCTGGCAAGCAACTTATGGGAGACTAATC